TGCACTCAGCTTGGTCTTGTGCCTGTCTTGCCTTACTTGCTCACTGCTTGACCTTGCTTGTACTGTCACTTATATATACTCTTGCTCTTGCTTGTTTAGCCTCTTATATATATACGTGCTCCTGTATGTGAACTTGCCTTCTGGCCTTGAACTTGTGCTCGGAATGTGTGGTGACCTTGTCATCCACCCTTAGCTTTGCTTTGTTTTGCTTGACTGGTCTTGTGACCCCTTGTTCTCCCCTACTTTGCCTATGGGGGTGTGTCAGAATATTATAGCTTATGCTGTTTGTTTAGGCTATAGTGGGGTATCCCATAGGGTGTACAACCCAATTATGGTTTCCTATATGTACTCGCTTCATTCATAGTTCATTCATTCTCGTCTCGATTCTCACACTCCCTGGCCCTACTTGCACTATAAGTGCGAAATGCCGGCCAGACTAGCCGATGCACCATTTTCTCGACACATGTGCGTTATTTACCTTTCAAACCCTTACGTTCACTCGACTAATATAATTCCTACCTTCTATTTGAGTGAGACCACTAAATTCCGTGTACTATGTGAGATCTGAGCGGTTCCATTCTCCCAGGCATTTGCACTTTAAGTTCCCATACTGACCGACCTGGCCAATGCACCATATTCCATATACATATGCATTAGATTCCTTTCAAACCTTATTAGCTCACTAGATTTATATTTCCCACCTTCTGATCGAGTGAGACCGCTAGATTCCCTCTACTTTTTGAGAAACGAGCGTTTCCGTTCTCCCTAGCCCCACTTGCACTATAAGTGCGAAATGCCAGCCAGACTGGCCGATGCACCATTTTCTCTACACATGTGCGTTAGTTACCTTTCAAACCCTTACGTTCACTCGATTAATATATTTCTTACCTTATATTTGAGTGAGACCACTAGATTCCGTGTACTATGCGAGATCTGAGCGCTTCCGTTCTCCCTGGCATTTGCTTTTAAGTTCCGATACTGACCGACCTGGACAATGCACCATTTTCTCTGTACATGTGCATTAGATACCTTTCAAACCTTTTTAGCTGACTAGATTTATATATTTCCCACCTTCTGATCGAGTGAGACCGCTAGATTCCCTTTACATTTTGAGAAATGAGCGTTTCCGTTCTCCCTGGCCCTACTTGCACTATAAGTGCGAAATGCCGGCCAGACTGGCCTATGCACCATTTTCTCTACACATGGGCGTTAGTTACCTTTCAAAAACGTACATTTACTCGATAAATATATTTCCTACCTTCTATTTGAGTGAGACCACTAGATTCCGTGTAATATGTGAGATCTGAGCGGTTCCGTTCTCCCAGGCATTTACACTCTAAGTTCCCATACTGACCGACCTGGCCAATGCACCATTTTCCATATACATATGCATTAGATTCGTATCAAACCTTATTAGCTCACTAGATTTATATATTTCCCACCTTCTGATCAACTGAGACCGCTAGATTCCCTTTACGTTTTGAGAAATGAGCGTATCCGTTCTCCTTGGCCCTACTTGCACTAAAAGTGCGAAATGCCGGCCAAACTGGCCGATGCACCATTTTCTCTACACATGTGCGTTATTTACCTTTCAATCCCTTACGTTCACTCGATTAATATATTTCCTACCTTATATTTGTGTGAGACCACTAGATTCCATGTACTATGCGAGATCTGAGCGCTTCCGTTCTCTCAGGCATTTGCACTCAAAGTTCCCATACTGACCGACCTGGCCAATGCACCATTTTCCATATACATATGCATTAGATTCCTTTCAAACCTTATTAGCTCACTAGATTTTTATAATTCCCACCTTTTGATCGAGTGAGACCGCTAGATTCCCTCTACTTTTTGAGAAACGAGCGTTTGCGTTCTCCCTGGCCCTACGTGCACTATAAGTGCGAAAGCCGGCCAGACTGGCCGATGCACCATTTTCTCTACACATGTGCGTTAGTTACCTTTCAAACCCTTACGTTCACTCGATTAATATATTTCCTACCTTATATTTGAGTGAGACCACTAGATTCCGTGTACTATGCGAGATCTGAGCGCTTCCGTTCTCCCAGGCATTTGCATTTTAAGTTCCGATACTGACCGACCTGGCCAATGCACCATTTTCTCTATACATGTGCGGTAGATACCTTTCAAACCATTTTAGCTGACTATATTTATATATTTCCCACCTTCTGATCGAGTGAGACCACTAGATTCCCTTTACTTTCTGAGAAATGAGCGTTTCCGTTCTCCCTGGCCCTACTTGCACTATAAGTGCGAAATGCCGGCCAGACTGGCCGATGCACCATTTTCTCTACACATGTGCGTTATTTACATTTCAAACCCTTACGTTCACTCGATTAATATATTTCCTACCTTATATTTGAGTGAGACCACTAGATTCCGTGTACTATGCGAGATCTGAGCGCTTCCGTTCTCCCTGGCATTTGCATTTTAAGTTCCCATACTGACCGACCTGGCCAATGCACTATTTTCCATATAAATGTGCATTAGATACCTTTTGAACCCTATTGGCTTACTATATTTATATATTTCCCACCTTCTAATCAAGTGAGACCGCTAGATTCCCTTTTCTTTTTGAGAAATTAGCGTTTCTGTTCTCCCTGGCCCTACTTGCACTATAAGTGCGAAATGCCGGCCAGACTGGCCGATGCACCATTTTCTCTACACATGTGCGTTAGTTACCTTTCGAACCTTTATGTTCACTAGATGAACGTAAGTCCTACCTTCTATTTGAGTGAGACCACTAGATTCCGTGTACTATGCGAGATCTGAGCGCTTCTGTTCTCCCTGGCATTTGCATTTTGAGTTCCCATACTGAACCACCTGGCCAATGCACTGTTTTTCATATAAATGTGCATTAGATACCTTTTGAACCTTATTAGCTCACTAGATTTATATATTTCCCACCTTCTGATCGAGTGAGACCGCTAGATTCCCTTTTCTTTTTTAGAAATGAGCGTTTCCGTTCTCCCTGGCCCTACTTGCACTATAAGTGCGAAATGCCGGCCAGACTGGCCGATGCACCATTTTCTCTACACATGTGCGTTATTTACCTTTTCAAACCCTTACGTTCACTAGATGAATATATTTCCTACCTTCTATTTGAGTGAGACCACTAGATTTCGTGTACTATGCGAGATCTGAGCGCTTCCGTTCTCCCAGGCATTTGCACTCTAAGTTCCCATACTGACCGACCTGGCCAATGCACTATTTTCCATATACATATGCATTAGATTCCTTTCGAACCTTATTAGCTCACTAGATTTATCTATTTCCCACCTTCTGATCAAGTGAGACCGCTAGATTCCCTTTACTTTTTGAGAAATGAGCGTTTATGTTCTCCCTGGCCCTACTTGCACTATAAGTGCGAAATGCCGGCCAGACTGGCCGATGCACCATTTTCTCTACACATGTGCGTTAGTTACCTTTCAAACCCTTATGTTCACTAGATGAACGTAAGTCCTACCTTCTATTTGAGTGAGACCACCAGATTCCGTGTACTATGCGAGATCTGAGCGCTTCCTTTCTCCCTGGCATTTGCATTTTAAGTTCCCATACTCAACCACTTGGCCAATGCACTGTTTTTCATATAAATGTGCATTAGATACCTTTTGAACCTTATTGGCTCACAAGATTTATATATTTCCCACCTTCTGATCGAGTGAGACCGCTAGATTCCCTTTACTTTTTGAGAAATGAGCGTTTCCGTTCTCCCTGGCCCTACTTGCACTATAAGTGCGAAATGCCGGCCAGACTGGCCGATCCACCATTTTCTCTACACATGTGCGTTATTTACCTTTAAAACCCTTACGTTCACTAGATGAATATATTTCCTACCTTCTATTTGAGTGAGATCACTAGATTCCGTGTACTATGCGAGATCTGAGCGGTTCCGTTCTCCCTGGCATTTGCACTCTAAGTTCCCATATTGACCGACCTGGCCAATGCACCATTTTCCATATACATATGCATTAGATTCCTTTCGAACCTTATTAGCTCACTATATTTATATATTTCCCACCTTCTGATCGAGTGAGACCGCTAGATTCCCTCTACTTTTTGAGAAATAAGCGTTTGCGTTCTCTTTAGCCCTACTTGCACTATAAGTGTGAAATGCCGGCCAGACTGGCCGATGCACCATTTTCTTTACACATGTGCGTTAGTTACTTTTCCAACCTTTACGTTCACTCGATGAATATATTTCCTACCTTCTATTTGAGTGAGACCACTACATTCCGTGTACTATGCAAGATCTGAGCGCTTCCGTTCTCCCAGGCATTGCACTCTAAGTTCCCATACTGACCGACCTGGCCAATGCACCATTTTCTATATACATGAGCATTATATACATTTCAAACCTTTTTAGCTCACTAGATTTATATATTTCCCACCTTCTAATCGAGTGAGACCGCTAGATTCCCTTCACTTTTTGAGAAATGAGCGTTTCCGTTCTCCCTGGCCCCACTTGCACTATATGTGCGAAATGCTGGCTAGACTGGCCGATGCACCATTTTCTCTACACATGTGCGTTAGTTACCTTTCAAACCCTTACGTTCACTAGATGAATATATTTCCTACCTTCTATTTGAGTGAGACCACTAGATTCCGTGTACTATGCGAGATCTGAGCGCTTCCTTCTCCCTAGCATTTGCATTTTATGTTCCGATACTGACCGACCTGGCCAATGCACCATTTTCTCTATGCATGTGCGTTAGATACCTTTCAAACCTTTTTAGCTGACTAGATTTATATATTTCCCACCTTCTCATCGAGTGAGACTACTAGATTCCCTCTATTTTTTGAGAAACGAGCCTTTCCGTTCTCCTTGGCCCTACTTGCAGTATACGTGCGAAATGCCGGCCAGACTGGACGATGCACCATTTTCTCTACACATGTGCGTTAGTTACCTTTCAAACCCTTACGTTCACTAGATGAATATATTTCCTACCGTCTATTTGAGTGAGACCACTAGATTCCGGGTACTATGCGAGATCTGAGCGGTTCCGTTCTCCCAGGCATTTACACTCTAAGTTCCCATACTGACCGACCTGGCCAATGCACCATTTTCCATATACATATGCTTTCGAACCTTATTAGCTCACTAGATTTTTATATTTCCCACCTTCTGATCGAGTGAGACCGCTAGATTCCCTTTACTTTTTGAGAAATGAACGTTTCCGTTCTCCCTCGCCCCACTTGCACTATAAGTGCGAAAAGCCGGCCAGACTGGCCGATGCACCATTTTCTCTACACATGTGCATTAGTTACCTTTCAAACCCTTAGGTTCACTAGATGAATATATTTCCTACCTTCTATTTGAGTGAGACCACTAGATTCCGTGTACTATGCGAGATCTGAGCGCTTCCGTTCTCCCTGGCATTTGCATTTTAAGTTCCGATACTGACCGACCTGGCCAATGCACCATTTTCTCTATACATGTGCGTTAGATACCTTTCAAACCTTTTTAGCTGACTAGATTTATATAATTCCCACCTTCTAATCGAGTGAGACCGCTAGATTCCCTCTACTTTTTGAGAAACGAGCGTTTGCGTTCTCTTTAGCCCTACTTGCACTATAAGTGTGAAATGCCGGCCAAACTGGCCGATGCACCATTTTCTCTATACATGTGCGTTAGTTACCTTTCAAACCCTTACGTTCACTAGATGAATATATTTCGTACCTTCTATTTGAGTGAGACCACTAGATTCCATGTACTATGCGAGATCTGAGCGCTTCCATTCTCACTGGCACGTCCACGTCCACGTCCACGTCCATGTCCACGTCCATGTCCACGTCCACGTCCATATCCACGTCCATGTTCACGTCCACGTCCACGTCCACGTCCACGTCCAGGTCCACGTCCACGTCCACGTCCACGTCCACGACCATGTCCACGTCCACGTCCACGTCCACGACCACGTCCACGTCCATGTCCATGTCCACGTCCATGTCCACGTCAATGTCCACGTCCACGTCCACGTCCATGTCCACGTCCACGTCCACGTCCACGTCCACCACCATGTCCACGTCCACGTCCACGTCCATGTCCACGTCCACGTCCACGTCCATGTCCACGTCACGTCCATGTCCACGTCCACGTCTACGTCCACGTCCATGTCCACGTCCATGTCCATGTCCACGTCCATGTCCACGTCCATGTCCACGTCCACGTCCATGTCCACGTCCATGTCCTTGTCCACGTCCACGTCCACGTCCACAACCATGTTCATGTCCATGTCCACGTCCTCGTCCACGTCCACGTCAACGTCCACGTCCATGTCCACGTCCACGTCCACGTCCACGTCCACGTCCACGTCCACGTCCATGTCCACGTCCATGTCCACGTCCACGTCCACGTCCACGTCCACGTCCATGTCCACGTCCACGTCCACGTCCACGTCCACCACGTCCACGTCCACCACGTCCACGTCCACGTCCACGTCCACGTCCACGTCCACGTCCACGTCCATGTCCACGTCCATTTCCACGTCCACGTCCACGTCCACGTCCACGTCCACGTCCACGTCCACGTCCACGTCCACGTCCACGTCCACGTTCATGTCCACCACGTCCACGTCCACGTCCACGTCCACGTCCACGTCCATGTCCGCGTCCACGTCCATGTCTGCGTCCACGTCCATGTCCGCGTCCACGTCCACGTCCACGTCCACCTCCACGTCCACGTCCACGTCCACGTCCACGTCCACGTCCATGTCCGCGTCCATGTCCACGTCCCCGTCCACGTCAACGTCCACGTCCACCTCCACGTCCACGTCCACGTCCATGTCCACGTCCACGTCCATATCCAGGTCCATGTCCACGTCCACGTCCATGTCCACGTCCACGTCCATGTCCGCGTCCACGTCCACGTCCGCGTCCACGTCCACGTCCATGTCCGCGTCCACGTCCACGTCCCCGTCCACGTCCATGTCCGCGTCGACCTCCACGTCCACGTCCGCGTCCACGTCCATGTCCGCGTCCACCTCCACGTCCACGTCCACGTCCACGTCCATGTCCGCGTCCGCCTCCACGTCCACGTCCGCGTCCACCTCCATGTCCACGTCCGCGTCCACGTCCACGTCCGCGTCCACGTCCAGGTCCACGTCCGCGTCCACGTCCAGGTCCACGTCCACGTCCAGGTCCACGTCCACGTCCACGTTCACGTCCACGTCCACGTCCACGTCCACGTCCACGTCCACGTCCACGTCCATGTCCACGCCCACGTCCACGTCCACGTCCATGTCCACGACCATGTCCACGTCCACGTCCACGTCCACGACCACGTCCACGTCCACGTCCATGTCCACGTCCACGTCCACGTCCATGTCCACGTCCATGTCCACGTCCACGTCCACCACCATGTCCACGTCCATGTCCACGTCCATGTCCACGTCCACGTCCACGTCCACCACCATGTCCACGTCCATGTCCACGTCCACGTCCACGTCCACGTCCACGTCCACCACCATGTCCACGTCCACGTCCATGTCCACGTCCACGTCCAAGTCCATGTCCACGTCCATGTCCACGTCCACGTCCACGTCCATGTCCACGTCCATTTCCACGTCCATGTCCACGTCCACGTCCATGTCCACGTCCATGTCCTTGTCCACGTCCACGTCCACGTCCACGTTCATGTCCATGTCCACGTCCACGTCCATGTCCACGTCCACGTCTATGTCCACATCCACGTCCATGTCCACGTCCACGTCCACGTCCATGTCCACGTCCACGTCCATGTCCACGTCCATGTCCACGTCCATGTCCACGTCCACGTCCACGTCCACGTCCACGTCCACGTCCACCACGTCCACATCCACGTCCACGTCCACGTCCATGTCCACGTCCACGTCCACGTCCATGTCCACGACCATGTCCACGTCCACGTCCACGTCCACGTCCACGTCCACTTCCACGTCCACGTCCACGTCCACGTCCATGTCCACGTCCATGTCCACGTCCACGTCCACGTCCACGTCCACGACCATGTCCACGTCCACGTCCACGTCCATGTCCACGTCCACGTCCACGTCCACGTCCACGTCCATGTCCACGTCCACGACCATGTCCACGTCCACGACCATGTCCACGTCCACGACCATGTCCACGTCTACGTCCACGTCCACGTCCACGTCCACGTCCACGTCCACGTCCACGTCCACGTCCACGTCCATGTCCACGTCCACGTCCACGTCCACGTCCATGTCCACGTCTACGTCCACGTCCACGTCCATGTCTACGTCCACGTACACGTCCATGTCCACGTCCACGTCCATGTCCACGTCCACGTCTACGTCCATGTCCACGTCCACGTCCATGTCCACGTCCACGTCCACGTCCAAGCCCACGTCCACGTCCACGCCCACGTCCATGTCCACGTCCACGTCCACGTCCACGTCCACCACGTCCACGTCCACGTCCACGTCCACGTCCACGTCCACGTCCATGTCCACGTCCACGTCCACGTCCACGTCCATGTCCACGTCCACGTCCACGTCCACGTCCATGTCCACGACCACGTCCACGTCCACGTCCACGTCCACGTCCATGTCCACGTCCACGTCCACGTCCACGTCCACCACGTCCACGTCCATGTCCACGTCCACATCCACGTCCACGTCCACGTCCACGACCACGTCCAGGTCCACGTCCACGTCCACGTCCACGTCCAGGTCCAGGTCCACGTCCACGTCCACGTCCACGACCATGTCCACGTCCACGTCCACGACCACGTCCACGTCCACGTCCACGTCCATGTCCACGTCCACGTCCACGTCCATGTCCACGTCCACGACCATGTCCACGTCCACGACCATGTCCACGTCCACGACCATGTCCACGTCCCCGTCCACGTCCACGTCCACGACCATGTCCACGTCCCCGTCCACGTCCACGTCCACGACCATGTCCACGTCCACGTCCACGTCCACGTCCACGTCCACGTCCACGTCCACGTCCGCGTCCGCGTCCACGTACATGTCCGTCCACGTCCACGTCCACGTCCACGTCCACGTCCACCACGTCCACGTCCACGTCCACGTCCACGTCCATGTCCACGTCCACCACGTCCACGTCCATGTCCACGTCCACCACGTCCACGTCCATGTCCACCACGTCCACGTCCATGTCCACGTCCATGTCCACGTCCACGTCCACGTCCACGTCCATGTCCACGTCCACGTCCACGTCCACGTCCACGTCCACGTCCACGTCCACGTCCACGTCCACGTCCACGTCCACGTCCACGTCCACGTCCACGTCCACATCCACGTCCACGTCCACGTCCACGTCCACGTCCACGTCCACGTCCACGTCCACGTCCACGTCCATGTCCACGTCCACGTCCACGTCCACGTCCGCGTCCACGTCCACGTCCACGTCCGCGTCCACGTCCAGGTCCGCGTCCACGTCCACGTCCAGGTCCACGTCCACGTCCAGGTTCACGTCCATGTCCACGTCCACGTCCACGTCCACGTCCATGTTCACGTCCACGTCCACGTCCACGTCCACGTCCACGTCCACGTCCACGTCCATGTTCACGTCCACGTCCACGTCCACGTCCACGTCCACGTCCATGTCCACGCCCACGTCCACGTCCACGTCCATGTCCACGACGATGTCCACGTCCACGTCCACGTCCACGACCACGTCCACGTCCACGTCCATGTCCACGTCCACGTCCACGTCCATGTCCACGTCCATGTCCACGTCCACGTCCACCACCATGTCCACGTCCATGTCCACGTCCATGTCCACGTCCACGTCCACGTCCACCACCATGTCCACGTCCATGTCCACATCCACGTCCACGTCCACGTCCACGTCCACCACCATGTCCACGTCCACGTCCATGTCCACGTCCACGTCCAAGTCCATGTCCACGTCCATGTCCACGTCCACGTCCACGTCCATGTCCACGTCCATGTCCACGTCCATGTCCACGTCCACGTCCATGTCCACGTCCATGTCCTTGTCCACGTCCACGTCCACGTCCACGTCCACGTTCATGTCCATGTCCACGTCCACGTCCATGTCCACGTCCACGTCTATGTCCACATCCACGTCCATGTCCACGTCCACGTCCACGTCCATGTCCACGTCCACGTCCATGTCCACGTCCATGTCCACGTCCATGTCCACGTCCACGTCCACGTCCCCGTCCACGTCCACCACGTCCACATCCACGTCCACGTCCACGTCCACGTCCACGTCCATGTCCACGTCCACGTCCACGTCCATGTCCACGACCATGTCCACGTCCACGTCCACGTCCACGTCCACGTCCACGTCCGCGTCCACGTCCATGTCCACGTCCACGTCCACGTCCAGGTCCACGTCCACGTCCACGTTCACGTCCACGTCCATGTCCACGTCCACGACCATGTCCACGTCCACGTCCACGTCCACGTCCACGTCCATGTTTACGTCCACGTCCACGTCCACGTCCACGTCCACGTCCACGTCCACGTCCATGTTCACGTCCACGTCCACGTCCACGTCCACGTCCACGTCCATGTCCACGCCCACGTCCACGTCCACGTCCATGTCGACGACCATGTCCACGTCCACGTCCACGTCCACGACCACGTCCACGTCCACGTCCATGTCCACGTCCACGTCCACGTCCATGTCCACGTCCATGTCCACGTCCACGTCCACCACCATGTCCACGTCCATGTACACGTCCATGTCCACGTCCACGTCCACGTCCACCACCATGTCCACGTCCATGTCCACGTCCACGTCCACGTCCACGTCCACGTCCACCACCATGTCCACGTCCACGTCCATGTCCACGTCCACGTCCAAGTCCATGTCCACGTCCACGTCCACCACGTCCACGTCCACGTCCACGTCCACGTCAACGTCCACGTCCACGTCCACGTCCACGTCTACGTCCACGTCCATGTCCACGTCCACGTCCACGTCCATGTCCACGTCCACATCCACGTCCACGTCCACGTCCATGTCCACGTCCACGTCCTCGTCCACGTCCATGTCCACGTCCACGTCCACGTCCACCACGTCCACGTCCATGTCCACGTCCACGTCCACGTCCACGTCCACGTCCACGTCCACGTCCACGTCCATGTCCACGACCACGTCCACGTCCACGTCCACGTCCACGTCCACGTCCACGTCCACGTCCACGTCCACGTCAACGTCCATGTCCACGTCCATGTCCACGTCCACGTCCACGTCCACGTCCACGTCCACGTCCACGTCCACGTCCACGTCCACGTCCACGTCCTCGTCCACGTCCATGTCCACGTCCACGTCCACGTCCACGACCATGTCCACGTCCATGTCCACGTCCATGTCCACGTCCACGTCCACGTCCACGTCCACGTCCACGTCCACGTCCATGTCCACGTCCACGTCCATGTCCACGTCCACGACCATGTCCACGTCTACGTCCACGTCCACGTCCACGTCCACGTCCACGTCCACGTCCACGTCCATGTCCACGTCCACGTCCACGTCCACGTCCACGTCCACGTCCACGTCCACGTCCACGTCCATGTCCACGTCTACGTCCACGTCCACGTCCATGTCTACGTCCACGTACACGTCCATGTCCACGTCCACGTCCATGTCCACGTCCACGTCTACGTCCATGTCCACGTCCACGTCCATGTCCACGTCCATGTCCACGTCCAAGCCCACGTCCACGTCCACGCCCACGTCCATGTCCACGTCCACGTCCACGTCCACGTCCACGTCCACCACGTCCACGTCCACGTCCACGTCCACGTCAACGTCCATGTCCACGTCCACGTCCACGTCCACGTCCACGTCCATGTCCACGTCCACGTCCACGTCCACGTCCATGTCCACGTCCACGTCCACGTCCACGTCCACGTCCACGTCCATGTCCACGTCCACGTCCTCGTCCACGTCCATGTCCACGTCCACGTCCACGTCCACGTCCACCACGTCCACGTCCATGTCCACGTCCACGTCCACGTCCACGTCCACGACCACGTCCAGGTCCAGGTCCACGTCCACGTCCACGTCCACGTCCACGTCCACGTCCACGACCATGTCCACGTCCACGACCACGACCACGTCCACGTCCACGTCCACGTCCATGTCCACGTCCACGTCCACGTCCATGTCCACATCCACGACCATGTCCACGTCCACGACCATGTCCACGTCCACGACCGTGTCCACGTCCCCGTCCACGTCCACGTCCACGACCATGTGCACGTCCCCGTCCACGTCCACGTCCACGACCGTGTCCACGTCCACGTCCACGTCCACGTCCACGTCCACGTCCACATCCACGTCCACGTCCACGTCCACGTCCATGTCCATGTCCATGTCCATGTCCACGTCCATGTCCACGTCCATGTCCACGTCCACGTCCATGTCCACGTCCATGTCCACGTCCACGTCCACGTCCACGTCCACGTCCACGTCCACGTCCATGTCCACGTCCACGTCCACCACGTCCACGTCCACGTCCACGTTCACGTCCATGTCCACGTCCACGTCCACGTCCATGTCCACTTCCACGTCCACGTCCATGTCCACGTCCATGTCCACGTCCACGTCCACCACCATGTCCACTTCCATGTCCACGTCCATGTCCATGTCCACGTCCACGTCCACCACCATGTCCACGTCCATGTCCACGTCCACGTCCACGTCCACGTCCACGTCCACCACCATGTCCACGTCCACGTCCACGTCCACGTCCAGGTCCATGTCCACGTCCATGTCCACGTCCACGTCCACGTCCATGTCCACGTCCAGGTCCACGTCCATGTCCACGTCCATGTCCACGTCCACGTCCATGTCCACATCCATGTCCTTGTCCACGTCCACGTCCACGTCCACGTCCACGTTCATGTCCTTGTCCACGTCCACGTCCACGTCCACGTCCAGGTTCATGTCCACGTCCACGTCCATGTCCACGTCCACGTCCACGTCCATGTCCACGTCCACGTCCATGTCCACGTCCATGTCCACGTCCACGTCCACGTCCATGTCCACGTCCACGTCCATGTCCACGTCCATGTCCACGTCCATGTCCACGTCCACGTCCAAGTCCACATCCACGTCCACGTCCACCACGTCCACATCGACGTCCACGTCCACGTCCACGTCCACGTCCACGTCCACGTCCACGTCCACGACCATGTCCACGTCCATGTCCATGTCCATGTCCACGTCCACGTCCACGTCCACGTCCTCGACCATGTCCACGTCCACGTCCACGTCCATGTCCACGTCCACGTCCACGTCCACGTCCATGTCCACGTCCACGTCCACGACCATGTCCACGTCCACGACCATGTCCACGTCCACGACCATGTCCACGTCCACGTCCACGTCAACGTCCACGTCCACCACCATGTCCACGTCCACGTCCACGTCCGTGTCCACGTCCACGTCCACGTCCACGTCCATGTCCACGTCTACGTCCACGTCCACGTCCATGTCTACGTCCACGTACACGTCCATGTTCACGTCCACGTCCATGTCCACGTCCACGTCTACGTCCATGTCCACGTCCACATCCATGTGCACGTCCATGTCCACGTCCAAGCCCACGTCCACGTCCACGCCCACGTCCATGTCCACGTCCACGTCCACGTCCACGTCCACCACGTCCACGTCCACGTCCACGTCCACGTCCATGTCCACGTCTACGTCCACGTCCACGTCCACGTCCATGTCCAAGTCCACGTCCACGTCCACGTCCATGTCCACCACGTCCATGTCCATATCCACGTCCACGTCCACGTCCACGTCCACGTCCACGACCACGTCCAGGTCCACGTCCACGTCGACGTCCACGTCCAGGTCCACGTCCACGTCCACGTCCACGTCCACGTCCTCGACCATGTCCACGTCCACGTCCACGACCACGTCCACGTCCACGTCCACGTCCATGTCCACGTCCACCTCCAAGTCCATGTCCACGTCCACGACCATGTCCACGTCCACGACCATGTCCACGTCCACGACCATGTCCACGTCCCCGTCCACGTCCACGTCCACGACCATGTCCACGTCCCCGTCAACGTCCACGTCCACGACCATGTCCACGTCCACGTCCACGTCCACGTCCACATCCACGTCCACGTCCACGTCCACGTCCATGTCCATGTCCATGTCCATGTCCACGTCCATGTCCACGTCCATGTCCACGTCCACGTCCATGTCCACGTCCATGTCCACGTCCACGTCCACGTCCATGTCCACGTCCACGTCCATGTCTATGTCCACGTCCACCACGTCCACGTCCACGTCCACGTTCACGTCCATGTCCACGTCCATGTCCACGTCCATGTCCATGTCCACGTCCACGTCCACGTCCATGTCCACGTCCATGTCCACGTCCACGTCCACCACCATGTCCACGTCCATGTCCACGTCCATGTCCACGTCCACGTCCACGTCCACCACCATGTCCACGTCCATGTCCACGTCCACGTCCACGTCCACGTCCACGTCCACCACCATGTCCACGTCCACGTCCATGTCCACGTCCACGTCCAGGTCCATGTCCACGTCCATGTCCACGTCCACGTCCACGTCCATGTCCACGTCCATGTCCACGTCCATGTCCACGTCCATGTCCACGTCCACGTCCATGTCCACGTCCATGTCCTTGTCCACGTCCACGTCCACGTCCACGTCCACGTTCATGTCCTTGTCCACGTCCACGTCCATGTCCACGTCCACGTCCATGTCCACGTCCACGTCCATGTCCACGTCCACGTCCACGTCCATGTCCACGTCCACGTCCATGTCCACGTCCATGTCCACGTCCATGTCCACGTCCACGTCCACGTCCACGTCCACGTCCACGTCCACCACGTCCACATCCACGTCCACGTCCACGTCCATGTCCACGTCCACGTCCACGTCCACGTCCACGACCATGTCCACGTCCACCTCCACGTCCACGTCCACGTCCACGTCCACTTCCACGTCCACGTCCACGTCCACGTCCATGTCCACGTCCATGTCCACGTCCACGTCCACGTCCACGTCCACGACCATGTCCACGTCCACGTCCACGTCCATGTCCACGTCCACGTCCACGTCCACGTCCACGTCCATGTCCACGTCCACGACCATGTCCACGTCCATGACCATGTCCACGTCCACGACCATGTCCACGTCCACGTCCACGTCCACGTCCACGTCCACCACCATGTCCACGTCCACGTCCACGTCCACGTCCGTGTCCACGTCCACGTCCGTGTCCACGTCCACGTCCACGTCCACGTCCATGTCTACGTCCACGTACACGTCCATGTCCACGTCCACGTCCATGTACACGTCCACGTACACGTCCATGTCCACGTCCACGTCCACGTCCACGTCCACGTCTACGTCCATGTCCACGTCCACGTCCATGTCCACGTCCATGTCCACGTCCAAGCCCACGTCCACGTCCACGCCCACGTCCATGTCCACGTCCACGTCCACGTCCATGTCCATGTCCACGTCCAAGCCCACGTCCACGTCCACGTCCACGTCCACGTCCACGTCCACGTCCATGTCCACGTCCACATCCATGTCCACGTCCACGTCCACGTCCATGTCCACGTCCACGTCCACGTCCACGTCCACGTCCACCTCCACGTCCACGTCCATGTCCACGTCCACGTCCACGTCCACGTCCACGTCCACGTCCATGTCCACGTCCATGTCCACGTCCACGTCCACGTCCACCACGTCCACGTCCATGTCCACGTCCACGTCCACGTCCACGTCCACGTCCACGACCATGTCCAGGTCCACGTCCACGTCCACGTCCACGTCCACGTCCACGTCCAGGTCCACGTCCAGGTCCACGTCCACGTCCACATCCACGTCCACGACCATGTCCACGTCCACGTCCACGACCACGTCCACGTCCACGTCCACGTCCATGTCCACGTCCACGTCCACGTCCATGTCCACGTCCACGACCATGTCCACGTCCACGACCATGTCCACGTCCACGACCATGTCCACGTCCCCGTCCACGTCCACGTCCACGACCATGTCGACGTCCCCGTCCACGTCCACGTCCACGACCATGTCCACGTCCACGTCCACGTCCACGTCCACGTCCACATCCACGTCCACGTCCACGTGCACGTCCATGTCCATGTCCACGTCCATGTCCACGTCCATGTCCACGTCCATGTCCACGTCCATGTCCACGTCCACGTCCACGTCCACGTCCACGTCCACGTCCATGTCTACGTCCACGTCCACCACGTCCACGTCCACGTCCACGTTCACGTCCATGTCCACGTCCATGTCCACGTCCATGTCCACGTCCACGTCCACGTCCACGTCCATGTCCACGTCCATGTCCACGTCCACGTCCACGTCCACGTCCACGTCCACGTCGATGTCCACGTCCACGTCCACGTCCACGTCCACGTCCACGTCCAGGTCCACGTCCACGTCCATGTCCACGTCCACGTCCACGTCCACGTCCACGTCCACGCCCACGTCCATGTCCACCACGTCCACGTCCACGTCCACGTTCACGTCCATGTCCACGTCCATGTCCATGTCCACGTCCAGGTCCACGTCCACGTCCACGTCCACGTCCACGTCCACGTCCATGTCCACGTCCACGTCCACGTCCATGTCCACGTCGTCCACGTCCACGTCCACGTCCACGCCCACGTCCACGCCCACGCCCACGTCCACGTCCACGCCCACGCCCACGTCCACGTCCACGTCCACGTCCACGTCCACGTCCACCACGTCCACGTCCACTTCCACGTCCACCACGTCCACGTCCACGTCCATGTCTACGTCCACGTCTACGTCCACGTCCACGTCCACGTCCACGTCCACGTCCACGTCCACGACCATGTCCACGTCCACGTCCACGTCCACGTCCACGTCCATGTCCACGTCCACGTCCACGTCCACGACCATGTCCACGTCCACGTCCACGTCCACATCCATGTCCACGTCCACGTCCACGTCCACGTCCACGTCCATGTCCACGTCCACGTCCACGTCCATGTCCATGTCCACGTCCACGTCCATGTCCACGTCCACGTCCATGTCCACGTCCACGTCCATGTCCACGTCCACGTCCACGTCCATGTCCACGTCCACGTCCATGTCCACGTCCATGTCCACGTCCATGTCCACGTCCACGTCCACGTCCACGTCCACGTCCACGTCCACCACGTCCACATCCACGTCCACGTCCACGTCCATGTCGACGTCCACGTCCACGTCCACGTCCACGACCATGTCCACGTCCACCTCCACGTCCACGTCCACGTCCACGTCCACTTCCACGTCCACGTCCACGTCCACGTCCACGTCCATGTCCACGTCCATGTCCACGTCCACGTTCACGTCCACGTCCACGACCATGTCCACGTCCACGTCCACGTCCATGTCCACTTCCACGTCCACGTCCACGTCCACGTCCATGTCCACGTCCACGACCATGTCCACGTCCACGACCATGTCCACCTCCACGACCATGTCCACGTCCACGTCCACGTCCACGTCCACGTCCACCACCATGTCCACGTCCACGTCCACGTCCACGTCCGTGTCCACGTCCACGTCCACGTCCACGTCCACGTCCATGTCCACGTCTACGTCCACGTCCACGTCCATGTCTACGTCCACGTACACGTCCATGTCCACGTCCACGTCCATGTCCACGTCCACGTCTACGTCCATGTCCACGTCCACGTCCATGTCCACGTCCATGTCCACATCCAAGCCCACGTCCATGTCCACGCCCACGTCCATGTCCACGTCCACGTCCACGTCCATGTCCATGTCCACGTCCAAGCCCACGTCCACGTCCACGTCCACGTCCACGTCCACGTCCACGTCCACGTCCATGGCCACGTCCACGTCCACGTCCACGTCCATGTCCACGTCCACGTCCACGTCCACGTCCATGTCCACGTCCACGTCCACGTCCACGTCCACGTCCATGTCCACGTCCACGTCCACGTCCACGTCCATGTCCACGTCCACGTCCACGTCCACGTCCACGTCCACCACGTCCACGTCCATGTCCACGTCCACGTCCACGTCCACGTCCACGTCCACGACCACGTCCAGGTCCACGTCCACGTCCACGTCCACGTCCAGGTCCACGTCCTCGTCCACGTCCACGTCCACGACCATGTCCACGTCCACGTCCACGACCACGTCCACGTCCACGTCCACGACCATGTCCACGTCCACGTCCACGTCCATGTCCACGTCCACGACCATGTCCACGTCCACGACCATGTCCACGCACGTCCACGACCATGTCCACGTCCCCGTCCACGTCCACGTCCACGACCATGTCCACGTCCACGTCCACGTCCACGTCCACGTCCACGTCCACGTGCACGTCCATGTCCATGTCCACGTCCATGTCCACGTCCATGTCCACGTCCATGTCCACGTCCATGTCCACGTCCACGTCCACGTCCACGTCCACGTCCATGTCTACGTCCACGTCCACCACGTCCACGTCCACGTCCACGTTCACGTCCATGTCCACGTCCATGTCCACGTCCATGTCCACGTCCACGTCCACGTCCACGTCCATGTCCACGTCCATGTCCACGTCCACGTCCACGTCCACGTCCACGTCCACGTCCACGTCGATGTCCACGTCCACGTCCACGTCCACGTCCACGTCCACGTCCAGGTCCACGTCCACGTCCACGTCCACGTCCAGGTCCACGTCCACGTCCACGTCCATGTCCACGTCCACGTCCACGTCCACGTCCACGCCCACGTCCACGTCCACCACGTCCACGTCCACGTCCACGTTCACGTCCATGTCCACGTCCATGTCCACGTCCAAGTCCACGTCCACGTCCACTCACGTCCACGTCCACGTCCACGTCCATGTCCACGTCCACGTCCACGTCCATGTCCACGTCGTCCACGTCCACGTCCACGTCCACGCCCACGTCCACGCCCACGCCCACGTCCACGTCCACGCCCACGTCCACGTCCACGTCCACGTCCACGTCCACGTCCACCACGTCCACGTCCACGTCCACGTCTACGTCCACGACCATGTCCACGTCCACGTCCACGTCCATGTCCACGTCCACGTCCACGTCCACGACCATGTCCACGTCCACGTCCACGTCCACGTCCATGTCCACGTCCACGACCATGTCCACGTCCACGACCATGTCCACGTCCATGTCCACGTCCACGTCCACGTCCATGTCCACGTCCACGTCCACGTCCATGTCCACGCATGTCCACGTCCACGTCCATGTCCACGTCCACGACCATGTCCACGTCTACGTCCACGTCCACGTCCAAGACCATGTCCACGTCCACGTCCACGACCATGTCCACGTCCACGTCCATGTCCACGTCCATGTCCACGTCCATGTCCACGTCCATGTCCACGTCCACGTCCACGTCCACGTCCACGTCCATGTCCACGTCCATGTCCACGTCCACGTCCACGTCCATGTCCACGTCCACGTCCACGTCCACGTCCACGTCCACGTCGACGTCCACGTCCACGTCCACGTCGACGTCCACGTCCACGTCCATGTCCACGTCCATGTCCACGTCCATGTCCACGTCCATGTCCACGTCCATGTCCACGTCCACGTCCACGTCCACGACCATGTCCGCGTCCACGTCCATGTCCACGTCCATGTCCACGTCCATCTCCACGTCCATGTCCACGTCCATCTCCACGTCCATGTCCACGTCCATGTCCACGTCCATATCCACGTCCATGTCCACGTCCACGTCCATGTCCACGTCCACGTCCACGTCCGCGTCCACGTCCACGTCCACGTCCACGTCCACCTCCACGTCCACGTCCGCGTCCACGTCCATGTCGGCGTCCACCTCCACGTCCACGTCCCTGTCCACGTCCATGTCCACGTCCACGTCCACGTCCACGTCCGCGTCCACGTCCATGTCCACGTCCACGTCCACGTCCACGTCCAGGTCCACCACGTCCACGTCCACGTTCACGTCCACGTCCATGTCCACGTCCACGTCCATGTCCACGTCCATGTTCACGTCCACGTCCACGTCCACGTCCACGTCCATGTCCACGCCCACGTCCACGTCCACGTCCACGTCCATGTCCACGCCCACGTCCACGTCCACGTCCACGTCCACGTCCACGTCCATGTCCACGTCCACGTCCACGTCCATGTCCACGTCCATGTCCACGTCCACGTCCACCACCATGTCCACGTCCATGTCCACGTCCATGTCCACGTCCACGTCCACGTCCACCACCATGTCCATGTCCATGTCCACGTCCACGTCCACGTCCACGTCCACCACCATGTCCACGTCCACGTCCATGTCCACGTCCACGTCCAGGTCCATGTCCACGTCCACGTCCATGTCCACGTCCACGTCGACGTCCACGTCCATGTCCATGTTTATGTCCATGTCCATGTCCATGTCCACGTCCATGTCCACGTCCACGTCCATGTCCACGTCCATGTCCACGTCCACGTCCACGTCCACATCCACGTCCACGTCCACGTCCATGTCCATGTCCATGTCTATGTCCACGTCCATGTCCACGTCCATGTCCACGTCCATGTCCACGTCCATGTCCACGTCCACGTCCACGTCCACGTCCACGTCCATGTCTACGTCCACGTCCACCACGTCCACGTCCACGTCCACGTTCACGTCCATGTCCACGTCCATGTCCACGTCCATGTCCACGTCCACGTACACGTCCACGTCCATGTCCACGTCCATGTCCACGTCCACGTCCACGTCCACGTCCACGTCCACGTCCACGTCGATGTCCACGTCCACGTCCACGTCCACGTCCACGTCCAGGTCCACGTCCACGTCCACGTCCATGTCCACGTCCACGTCCACGTCCACGTCCACGTCAACGCCCACGTCCACGTCCACCACGTCCACGTCCACGTCCACGTTCATATCCATGTCCACGTCCATGTCCATGTCCACGTCCAGGTCCACGTCCACGTCCACGTCCACGTCCACGTCCATGTCCACGTCCACGTCCATGTCCACGTCCACGTCCACATCCATGTCCACGTCGTCCACGTCCACGTCCACGTCCACGCCCACGTCCACGCCCACGCCCACGTCCACGTCCACGCCCACGTCCACGTCCACGTCCACGTCCACGTCCACGTCCACGTCCACCACGTCCACGTCCACGTCCACGTCCACCACGTCCACGTCCACGTCCACGTCCATGTCTACGTCCACGTCTACGTCCACGTCCACGTCCACGTCCACGTCCACGACCATGTCCACGTCCACGTCCACGTCCACGTCCATGTCCACGTCCACGTCCACGTCCACGTCCACGACCATGTCCACGTCCACGTCCACGTCCATGTCCACGTCCATGTCCACGTCCACGACCATGTCCACGTCCACGACCATGTCCACGTCCATGTCCACGTCCACGTCCACGTCCATGTCCACGTCCACATCCACGTCCATGTCCACGTCCATGTCCACGTCCACGTCCATGTCCACGTCCACGACCATGTCCACGTCTACGTCCACGTCCACGTCCAAGACCATGTCCACGTCCACGTCCACGACCATGTCCACGTCCACGTCCATGTCCACGTCCATGTCCACGTCCACGTCCATGTCCACGTCCATGTCCACGTCCACGTCCACGTCCACGTCCATGTCCACGTCCATGTCCACGTCCACGTCCACGTCCATGTCCACGTCCACGTCCACGTCCATGTCCACGTCCACGTCGACGTCCACGTCCACGTCCATGTCCACGTCCATGTCCACGTCCATGTCCACGTCCATGTCCACGTCCACGTCCACGACCATGTCCTCGTCCACGTCCACGTCCATGTCCACGTCCACGTCCACGACCATGTCCGCGTCCACGTCCATGTCCATGTCCGCGTCCACGTCCATGTCCACGTCCATGTCCATGTCCATGTCCACGTCCATGTCCGCGTCCACGTCCATGTCCGCGTCCACGTCCACGTCCACGTCCAGGTCCACCACGTCCACGTCCACGTTCACGTCCACGTCCATGTCCACGTCCACGTCCATGTCCACGTCCATGTCCACGTCCATGTCCACGTCCACGTCCACGTCCACGTCCATGTTCACGTCCACGTCCACGTCCACGTCCACGTCCATGTCCACGCCCACGTCCACGTCCACGTCCACGACCATGTCCACGTCCACGTCCACGACCACGTCCACGTCCACGTCCATGTCCACGTCCACGTCCACGTCCATGTCCACGTCCATGTCCACGTCCACGTCCACCACCATGTCCACGTCCATGTCCACGTCCATGTCCACGTCCACGTCCACGTCCACCACCATGTCCACGTCCATGTCCACGTCCACGTCCACGTCCACGTCCACGTCCACCACCATGTCCACGTCCACGTCCATGTCCACGTCCACGTCCAGGTCCATGTCCACGTCCACGTCCATGTCCACGTCCACGTCCACGTCCACGTCCATGTCCACGTTTATGTCCATGTCCATGTCCATGTCCACGTCCATGTCCACGTCCACGTCCATGTCCACGTCCATGTCCTTGTCCACGTCCACGTCCACGTCCACGTCCACGTTCATGTCCATGTCCACGTCCACGTCCATGTCCACGTCCACGTCCACGTCCACGTCCATGTCCACGTCCACGTCCACGTCCACGTCCATGTCCACGTCCATGTCCATGTGCACGTCCATGTCCACGTCCATGTCCACGTCCACGTCCACGTCCGTGTCCACGTCCACGTCCACGTCCACGTCCATGTCCACGTCCACGTCCACGTCCATTTCCAGGTCCACGTCCAAGCCCACGTCCACGTCCACGCCCACGTCCATGTCCACGCCCACGTCCACGTCCACGTCCACGTCCACCACGTCCACGTCCACGTCTACGTCCATGTCCACGTCCACGTCCACGTCCACGTCCATGTCCACGTCCACGTCCAGGTCCACGTCCACGTCCATGTCCACGTCCATGTCCACGTCCACGTCCATGTCCACGTCCATGTCCACGTCCATGTCCACGTCCACGTCCACGTCCACGTCCATGTCCACGTCCACGTCCACCACGTCCACGTCCACGTCCACGTCCATGTCCACGTCCACGTCCACGTCCACGTCCACGACCATGTCCACGTCCACGTCCACGTCCACGTCCACTGCCATGTCCACGTCCACGTCCACGTCCATGTCCACGTCCATGTCCACGTCCACGTCCACGTCCACGTCCACGTCCACGACCATGTCCACGTCCACGTCCACGACCATGTCCACGTCCACGTCCACGTCCACGTCCATGTCCACGTCCACGACCATATCGACGTCCACGACCATGTCCACGTCCACGACCATGTCCACGTCCACGTCCACATCCACGTCCATGACCATGTCCACGTCCACGTCCACGTCCACGTCCACGTCCACGTCCACGTCCACGTCCACGTCCATGTCCACGTCCATGTCCACGTCCACGTCCATGTCCACGTCCATGTCCACATCCATGTCCACGTCCACGTCCACGTCAACGTCCATGTCCACGTCCACGTCCACCACGTCCACGTCCACCTCCACGTCCACGTCCATGTCCACGTCCACGTCCACGTCCACGTCCACGACCATGTCCACGTCCATGTCCACGTCCACGTCCACTTCCATGTCCACGTCCACGTCCACGTTCACGTCCATGTCCACCACCACGTCCACGTCCACGTCCACGTCCATGTCCACGTCCAGGTCCACGTCCACGTCCACGTCCACGTCCACGACCACGTCCACGTCCACGTCCATGTCCACATCCACGACCATGTCCACGTCCACGACCACGTCCACGTCCACGACCATGTCCACGTCCCCGTCCACGTCCACGTCCACGACCATGTCCGCGTCCCCGTCCACGTCCACGACCATGTCCACGTCCACGTCCACGTCCACGTCCACGTCCACGTCCATGTCCACATCCACGTCCACGTCCACGTCCACGTCCATGTCCATGTCCATGTCCATGTCCACGTCCATGTCCACGTCCATGTCCACGTCCACGTCCATGTCCATGTCCACGTCCACGTCCACGTCCACGTCCACGCCCACGTCCACCACGTCCACGTCCACGTCCACGTTCACGTCCATGTCCACGTCTATGTCCATGTCCACGTCCATGTCCACGTCCACGTCTACGTCCACGTCCATGTCCACGTCTATGTCCATGTCCACGTCCACGTCCACGTCCATGTCCACGTCCACGTCCACGTCCATGTCCACGTCGTCCACGTCCACGTCCACGCCCACGCCCACGCCCACGTCCACGTCCACGCCCACGTCCACGTCCACGTCCACGTCCACGTCCACCACGTCCACGTCCACGTCCATCACGTCCACGTCCACGTCCATGTCTACGTCCACGTCTACGACCATGTCCACGTCCACGTCCACGTCCACGTCCACGTCCACGACCATGTCCACGTCCACGTCCACGTCCATGTCCACGTCCACGTCCACGTCCACGACCATGTCCACGTCCACGTCCACGTCCACGTCCATGTCCAAGTCCACGTCCATGTCCATGTCCACGACCATGTCCACGTCCACGACCATGTCCACGTCCATGTCCACGTCCACGTCCACGTCCATGTCCACGTCCACGTCCATGTCCACGTCCATGTCCACGTACACGTCCATGTCCACGTCCACGACCATGTCCACGTCTACGTCCACGTCCACGTCCACGACCATGTCCACGTCCACGTCCACGAACATGTCCACGTCCACGTCCATGTCCACGTCCATGTCCACGTCCACGTCCATGTCCTCGTCCATGTCCACGTCCACGTCCACGTCCACGTCCACGTCCATGTCCACGTCCACGTCCACGTCCATGTCCACGTCCACGTCCACGTCCATGTCCACGTCCATGTCCACGTCCATGTCCACGTCCATGTCCACGTCCATGTCCACGTCCATGTCCACGTCCATGTCCACGTCCACGTCCATGTCCACGTCCACGTCCATGTCCACGTCCACGTCCATGTCCACGTCCACGTCCACGTCCAGGTCCACGTCCACGTCCACGTCCACGTCCAGGTCCACGTCCACGTCTTCGTCCATGTCCACGTCCACGTCCATGTCCACGTCCATGTCCACGTCCATGTCCACGTCCATGTCCACGTCCATGTCCACGTCCACGTCCATGTCCACGTCCATGTCCACGTCCAGGCCCACGTCCACGTCCACGCCCACGTCCATGTCCACGTCCATGTCCACGTCCACGTCCACGTCCACCACGTCCACGTCCACGTCCATGTCCACGTCCACGTCCACGTCCACGTCCACGTCCATGTCCACGTCTACGTCCACGTCCACGTCCACGTCCAGGTCCACGTCCACGTCCACGTCCACGTCCACGTCCACGTCCAGGTCCAGGTCCACGTCCACGTCCACGTCTACGTCCACGTCCACGTCCACGACCAGGTCCACGTCCACGTCCACGACCACGTCCACGTCCATGTCCACGTCCATGTCTTCGTCCACGTCCACGTCCATGTCCACGTCCACGACCATGTCCACGTCCACGACCATGTCCACGTCAACGACCATGTCCACGTCCCCGTCCACGTCCACGTCCACGACCATGTCCACGTCCCCGTCCACGTCCACGTCTACGACCATGTCCACGTCCACGTCCACGTCCACGTCCACGTCCACGTCCACGTCCACGTCCACGTCCACGTTCACGTCCACGTCCACGTCCACGTCCATGTCCACGTCCACGTCCACGTCCACGTCCAAGTCCACCTCCACGTCCACGTCCATGTCCACGTCCACGTTCACGTCAACGTCCACGTCCACGTCCACGTTCACGTCCACGTCCACGTCCACGTCCACGTCCATGTCCACGTCCACGTCCACGGCCAGGGAGAACGCAAACGCTCCTTTTTCAAAAAAGTAAAGGGAATCTAGCGGTCTCACACTATCAGAAGGTGGGAAATATATAAATCTAGTGAGCTAATAAGGTTCGAAAGGAATCTAATGCATATGTATATGGAAAATGGTGCATTGGCTAGGTCGGTCAGTATTGGAACTTAGAGTGCAAATGCATGGGAGAACGGAACCGCTCAGGTCTCGCATAGTACACGGAATCTAATGGTCTCACTCAAATATAAGGTAGGAAATATATTAATTGAGTGAACGTAAGTTTTTGAAAGGTAACTAACGCACATGATAGAGAGAATGGTGCATCGGCCAGTCTGGCCGGCATTTTGCACTTATAGTGCAACTAGGGCCAGGGAAAATAGAAACGCTCATTTCTCAAAAAGTAAAGGGAATCTAGCGGTCTCACTCGATCAGAAGGTGGGAAATATATAAATCTAGTGAGCTAATAAGGTTCGAAAGGAATCTAATGTATATGTGTATGGAAAATGGTGCATTGGCCAGGTCGGTCAGTATGGGAACTTAGAATGCAAATGCCAGGGAGAACGGAAGTGCTCAGATCTCGCATAGTACACGGAATCAAGTGGTCTCAATCAAATAGAAAGTAGGAAATATATTCATCTAGTGAACGTAAGGGTTTGAAAGGTAACTAACGCACATGTCTAGAGAAAATGGTGCATCGGCAGTGTGGCCGGCATTTCGCACTTATAGTGCAAGTGGGGCCAGGGAGAACGGAAAAGCTCGTTGCTCAAGAAGTAGAGGGAATCTAGCGGTCTCACTCGATGAGAAGGTGGGAAATATATAAATCTAGTCAGCTAATAAGGTCTGAAAGGTATCTAACGCACATGTATAGAGAAATTGGTGCATTGCCCAGATCGGTCAGTATCGGAACTTAAAATGCAAATGCCAGGGAGAACGGAAGCGCTCAGATCTCGCATAGTACACGGAATTAAGTGGTCTCGCTCAAATATAAATTAGGAAATATATTCATCCACGTCCACATCCACGTCCACGTCCACGTCCACGACCAGGTCCACGTCCACGTCCACGTCCACGTCCACGTCCGCGTCCACGTCCGCGTCCACGTCCGCGTCCACGTCCCCGTCCACGTCCAGGTCCACGTCCGCGTCCACGTCCCCGTCCACGTCCAGGTCCACGTCCGCGTCCACGTCCCCGTCCACGTCCACGTCCACGTCCATGTCCACGTCCACGTCCACGTCCAGTCCATGTCCACGTCCACGTCCACGTCCACGTCCAGTCCACGTCCAGTCCACGTCCAGTCCACGTCCACGTCCAAGTCCACGTCCACGTCCACGTCCATGTCCACGTCCACGTCCACGTACACGTCCACGTCCACGTCCACGTCCACGACCACGTCCACGTCCACGTCCACGTCGACGTCCACGTCCATGTCCACGTCCATGTCCACGTCCACGTCCACGTCCACGACCACGTCCACGTCCATGGTGAGGGTGTACGAGTTGGGGGCGGATGCGGCACTAGAGGAGGTGTTTGACCTGGCGGAAAGGGTGGAGCTGGCACACAGGAGGTATGAGGCCTACCTGTCGAGGCCGACAGAGAGGAGCCGCAGACCGACATGGGCGGCGGCTATGATACCAGAGGAGCGAGGGAGGGTGGACCCACACGGGGAAGAGAGAGCCGACGCGCGCACCTGCTACCGTTGTGGACAGATGGGGCACCTCCGCAGAGAGTGCAAAAACTGTGATGGATGTGGGAAGCCTGGGCACCGGAAACGATAATGTCCGGATGCGGCGAAGTGTGAAATCTGCGGGAAGAAGGGGCACGAGGCCAAGGAGTGTTACCAGCGGGAGGGAGGGGCAAGGAGGAAACCAGAGGAGCTGCAGCGGCAGATCAGCAGGCTGCAGTCTCAACTGCAGGCCATGGGGTCAGGGTGGGGAGCGGAGGCGGGGATGTACGCTAGGGACGAGGAGGGAGAAGGGGTGGAGCCGGACGTGCAGTGTGCCCTCATGGCCTGGAGAGGCAGGGAACAGATGGGGCTGCGTAGCGGGGGGAAGGATGGCAGGCAGGAGCATAGCCGGAAGCCACGTGAGCACGGGTCCAGGCCGGACGCGCCAGGAGGAGAGAAGACCCCAGCCCGCCACCCGCAGGAATGACTCGCGTGCCAGACCTCAGTGCTGCTCGTGGAAGCACGAGCGGTGGAAGTGGGGGGGATGAAGGTAAAGACGGCGATCATTGACACAGGAGCACAGAGCGTGATGCTGGGTAAGGGGATGGCCGAACGGTTGGGGCTGATGGCCCCTGAGAGGCACGTGGAGAAGGGGATGTTAGTCATGACAGCAGAGGGAGGGGAACCAAAGTGGATGCCGTGCACACGGACCCCCATAGAGTTGACACTGCTGCCAGGAGGGGAGCATGAAACAAGGATCAGGATGAAGTGTGGAATCTCGGAGTCCGAGGACTTTGATCTGCTGATGGGGACGGAATTGGTGTTCGCTGTAGGCATGAGCATATGTACCTGGATAGAGAAGGTGGAGTTCCGAACGAGATACTGGAAGGAGGGACCATTGGGGCAGCTGCCAGTGCAGTTTGTAAGGGTGGAGCCGAAGCGGGCCTATCAGGTCGGAGCAGGAGGGGCACAAAGGGGGCAGAGAGGAGCAGCAGAGACCAAGGAGGGGCCCAGGATGAAACTGATGGACAAGCCGGGGCAGCATAGCGATTGGCAGCAGCCCATCCGGCTAGTAAAGTTGTTCGGAGGAATCGGGGCAGGGCTGGCGGCAGCAGTGAGGAGTGGGATTGCAGTGCAGCAGTGGGTCTATGTGGAACTGGCACCACAGGTGAGAAGGATGGCTGAGCATCACGCGCACAAGCTGAGAGCTGAGTTCCCGGACCTCCTGGGTGAGAAAGTAATTCAGGAAGCCATGAGCAGTACGGTGCACGATGTGAGTCAGATCACAGAGGAGCAGGTGGCCAGCTGGGGGCAGGTGGACCTGCTGGTGGCGGGATGGGAGTGTCAAGGGGTGTCATGGGCAGGAAAAGGGAAGGGAGGGGAGGACCCGAGGACGAAGCTGATGGACAACCTGTTCAATATCCTGGAGTGGCTGCAGGAGAGGCAGGGCAGAGTGGCTTACTTGCTAGAGAATCAGGATCTAGAAGGGGATTGTAGAGAGCCGATTTGGCTGGTGAGGGAGAGGATTGGCCGGCACGTGGGAAAAGGGATGAGCTGTGATGCAGCCAGGGCAGGGTCGTACGCTCACCGCCTCAGGATGTACTGGCAAAACGTGGTTCTCGTGCTGGATTTGCAGGAGGAAGCAGAGGGGATGAGGAGGGCTACAGGGAGGAGGGTGGTGGACATCCTGGAGCCGGGACGGACTCCCGCGCCAGTTTGTCAAAGAAGTTACAGCAGGCACTACCCGTGCAACCAGGTGGGGCAGGACAGGAGGGCTCTGCCCACCTTGGTCGCTTTTGCAGAGGCAGCAGGCTACAGGTGGGAAAAGGGGGAGCCCGGACCCGGGCTGATAGACCACAAGCGGGGACGGTGGGAGGAACCGACGGCATTAGAGAGGGAGCTGGCTATGGGATATGGAGAAAACGTGACGGCAGCACCAGGGGTGAGCGAGGAAGACAGGAGGAGGGCAATGGGGAATGCCATGGATGGCTACATGATGAGGTGGCTGGTGCAGAGGATGTGGCGAGAGATGGTCTTGGGTGGGGGGCAAGAGGCAGATAAGGTGGCGGCAGCAGCAGCCCCACAAGGAGCATGGACCTGCCAGGAGGAGGAGGGAGAGAAGTGGACAGTGGGGGAAGCGATGAGTGAAGAGGGAAGGGAAGCTATGCTGGGACTGCTGGCCAAGCATAGGAAGTGCTTTGCCTTCACACTGCAAGAACTGGGAAGGTGCAAAATGAAGGAGATGGAGCTGAAACTGAGCAGCACAGAGCCGGTGTTCCAACGGCGTAGGAAGATGCCGCACGGAGATGAAGAGATATGCAAGGAGAAGATTAAGGAGCTGCTAGCGGCCGGACTGATCCGGCGCTCAGAATCAGAATACGCCACACCAACAGTGGTGGCAGCGAGGAAGGACTTAACAGGGGAGATCCTGAGCAGGAGGATGTGCGGAGATTACCGAGCGCTCAACAAGAATACCGTGGCGGACAGGTACCCAATGCCGATGGCGGAGGAGATATTTGACAAGTTAGCAGAGGGGGTGTTCTTTACGACGCTGGACCTGTGGCAGGGGTTCAATCAGATAAAAATCAGGGAGGAGGACGTTAGGAAGACGGCATTTCACGGGCCGGATGGGCTGTACGAGTGGGCTTACATGCCATTCGGGCTGAGGAACGCATCAGCAGTGTTTCAGAGAGTCATGAATGCAGTGCTGAGGGACGTAGAATATGCAGCGTGCTACATAGATGACGTGGTGATCTTCAGCACCTCCGAACAGCAGCACCTGCAGGATGTGGAGAAGACACTGGCAGCAATAGAAGCAGCGGGACTCACGTGTCACCCGAAGAAGTGTAGGTGGGGTGAGCAGACCGTTCAGTATCTGGGCTACGAGGTGACAGGGGGGCAGATCGGGATCCAGCAAGCAAAGGTGGAGGTGCTGGATAGGCTGCGAGAACCAAAGGACAAGACAGGGCTGAGAGCGGTGTTGGGGTTTCTGAGTTACTACCGGCGATTTGTGCCCAACTTCAGCAGGCGGGCAGCGGTGTTGAACGGACTGTTAAGGGAGGACAAGACATGGGAGTGGGGGGAAGCGCAGAAGGGGGCATTGCAGGACCTGATGGCGGCGGTGAAAACAGCAACTGTCTTGCAGCTGCCAGCAGCGGACCAACCCTTCACCCTCTACACCGACTGGAGCAGCCAAGGGATGGGCGGGATACTCTGCCAGGAGGTGGAAGGGGATGAGAAGGTGGTGGCCTACGCGAGTAGGAGCTGCAACTCGGCGGAGGCACAGTACAGCTCGTACACAGGGGAGGGACTGGCGGCAGTATGGGCTGTGGGGCACTTCAGGGTCTACTTGCAGGGGCGGGAGTTCACCCTGGTGACGGACCACCAGCCACTGACATGGCTGATGACTACACCAGGGTTAACAGGCAGGAATGCACGATGGGCAATGAAGCTGCAGGAGAATGACTTCAAAATCAAGCACAGGCCAGGAAAAACCTTGCAGCATGTGAACGGCCTCTCCCGTAACCCCCCACCGCTAGAGCCAACAGTGACCCTTGCGCTGCTGGCCAGACAGGTGGAGCTGAGCGGGGCCAGGAGGAGCAAGGGGCCGGCTGATATCTGGGAGGATGAGCAGGTTGTGAGATGTGTGAAGGGAGAGACAGGAGCAGACGAGGAGATGAGCGAGAGGGTGAGAGCAAGGGGGCACCACTACAGGTGGTACCAGCAGCAGTTGCAGATACAGACCGAGGGTGGGTGGAAGCTGGTGCCGGCCCCAGGTGACAGGGAAGCGGTGATAAAGGAGGTGCACTCAAAGCTGGGGCACTTCGGGCATGAGAGGACAGTGCAGTTGTTGAAGACGGGCTGGTGGTGGGAGGGAATGCGCAGGCAGGTGCAGAAGTGGGTGGAGGGATGTGAGGCCTGCCAAAGGAGCCGAGCAAACCTGACCCAAGCCAAGGCCGAGCTGCAGTCCCTGCCCATCCGCGGGTTAGGCTTCAGATGGTCCTTGGACCTGGCAGGGGAACTGCCGCTGAGTCGGGGGGGGAAACGGTACATAGTGCTCATGGTGGAGCACGTGAGCAAGTGGCTGGAGGTGAGGGCTATCCCCAGCAAGAGCTCAAGACATGTGGCAGCAGCATTCAAGGAGCAAGTAATATGCAGATTTGGGGCGTGTGCAGAGGTGCTCACCGATCAAGGCACAGAGTTTCAAAGGGAGTTCAGGGAGCTGTTAGAGGAAGCGGGAATCACCCACAGGCGCACCTCTCGGTATCACCCACAGAGTGATGGGCTGACCGAGCGCCTAGTGCAGACGTTGAAGCGAGGGCTACGGGCATATGGGGAGAAAAGGAAGCGGGAATGGGACAATGAGCTACACTAGATTGCGGCAGGATATAGGTTTGGGAAGCAGGCAGCCCTGAGAGACCATTCACCCTACAGCCTTCTGTTTGGTTGTGAGCCGGTGCTACCTGTGGGGGCACCACGGGTCCTCACGGACACAGTGACAGCAGGCACCATAGACAACTGGGTGGCCTTGTCAGAGGCCAGAGCAAGGTACCTCCGAGTGATAATGCCAGCAGCGCTAGAAAACCTACACACGGCACAGCTGAGAGACGCCAGACGTTATGAGCAACGCCAGCAGCAGGGGATGTTGGGAAGGAGAGAGAAAAAGGGAGCAAGTGAGGGGCAGGAGGTGTACCTGAAAAGGGCAAAACAGGACACGCTGGACGTCGGGGTGGGGACCGAGAGGTGGAGAGTGAAGGAAGTTCGGCCCTCGGGTATTCTCGTGCTGGAGAACGAAAAGGGGGCACAGCTGAAGGAGCACCAGACCAACACGGCCCTGGTGAGGGGGAGCAAGCCTCAGCAAGCTGGTCCTGTGACACGAGCTCGAGCTACCCAAGCACGGGCACAGGAGGGGGCAGTGAGTGACTGAGGTAGGGCAGCACAGAGCAGGGAGTGTTGAAGAAGAACAACAGGAAGAAGAGCAAGTGCTGGTGAGGGTCACACACTCCGACAGCTGTCACCGTATATGCAAGGGATGCATATGCAATAACAGTAGAGTGCGGTGCTGGGAAGTAGTATAGCAAATAGCTAAGAATGCATTGAGGTAGATAGACAAGAAGTAGTGTAGGAGGTGTAGCCAGTAGCGAAGTGTCGGTTGCAAAGGGGTGCAGAAAGGGGGAAATATGTGGGAGCGGTTGGGATGAAGGGGGAAAAGCACCGAAGGGCAAAATTTGGGATTCGAACAAATCCCAACCTCGAGCCGCATTGGAAATGTGCAAGCCGAGGTTGGGTAAGGTCACCCACGCCCACTCACTCGATGCCTATTGTTCAGTATTCTTTCATACTAGTGCAGGGCTGTTATCCTAGCTACTACACGCGGTGGCACAGCACTAAGAAGGAACCGGTGGGGTGAGGGAGTGATCACGTTCATGTGAGTGACTGAAGTAGGGCAGCACAGAGCAGGGAGTGTTGAAGAAGAACAACAGGAAGAAGAGCAAGTGCTGGTGAGGGTCACACACTCCGACAATGTCCACGTCCACGTCCTCGTCCACGTCCACGGCCATGTCCACGTCCACATCCACGTCCACGTCCATGTCCACGTCCACGTCCACGTCCACGTCCACGTCCATGTCCACGTCCACGTCCACGTCCATGTCCACGTCCACGTCCATGTCCACGTCCACGTCCACGTCCATGTCCACATCCAAGTCCTCCACGTCCACGTCCACGTCCATGTCTACGTCCACGTCCACGTCCATGTCCACGTCCACGTCCACGTCCACCTCCATGTCCACGTCGACGTCGATGTCCGCGTCCACATCCACGTCCACGTCCACGTCCACATCCACGTCCACGTCCACGTCCACGTCCACGTCCATGTCCACGTCCATGTCCTCCTCCACGTCCACGTCCACGTCCATGTCCACGTCCACATCCACGTCCATGTCCATGTCCATGTCCACGTCCACGTTCGTGTCCATGTCCACGTCCACGTCCACGTCCATGTCCATGTCCACGTCCACGTCCACGTCCACGTCCACGTCCATGTCCACGTCCACCTCCACATCCACGTCCACGTCCACGTCCACGTCCATGTCCATGTCCACGTCCACGTCCATGTCCACATCCATGTCCTCAACGTCCACGTCCACATCCACGTCCACGTCCATGTCCACGTCCATGTCCACGTCCACGTCCACGTCCATGTCCATGTCCACATCCATGTCCACGTCCACGTCCGGTCCATGTCCACGTCCATGTCCACGTCCATGTCCACGTCCACGTCCATGTCCACGTCCACGTCCACGTCCACGTCTATGTCCACTTCCAAGTCCTCCACGTCCACGTCCACGTCCATGTCCACGTCCACGTCCACGTCCGTGTCCATGTCCACGTCCATGTCCACGTCCAAGTCCACGTCCACGTCGATGTCCGCGTCCAGGTCCACGTCCACGTCCACGTCCACATCCATGTCCACGTCCACGTCCACGTCCACGTCCACGTCCATGTCCACGTCCACGTCCACGTCCACGTCCATGTCCATGTCCACGTCCACGTCCGTGTCCATGTCCACGTCCACGTCCACGTCCACGTCCGTGTCCATGTCCACGTCCACGTCCACGTCCACGTCCGTGTCCACGTTCACGTCCACGTCCACGTCCGTGTCCACGTTCACGTCCACGTCCACGTCCACGTCCATGTCCACGTTCACGTCCACGTCCACGTCCACGTCCACGTCCACGTCCACGTCCACGTCCACGTCGAAGTCCACCACGTCCATGTCCACGTCCATGTCCACGTCCACGTCCACGTCCATGTCCACGTCCACGTCCACGTCCACGTCCATGTCCACGTCCACGTCCACGTCCATGTCCACGTCCATGTCCACGTCCACGTCCATGTCCACGTCCATGTCCATGTCCACGTCCACGTCCACGTCCATGTCCACGTCCATGACCACGTCCACGTCCATATCCATGTCCACGTCCACGTCCACGTCCATGTCCACGTTCATATCCACGTCCATGCCACGTCCATGTCCACGTCCACCTCCACATCCACGTCCATGTCCACGTCCACGTCCATGTCCGCGTCCATGTCCACGTCCACGTCCACGTCCACGTCCATGTCCACATCCAAGTCCTCCACGTCCACGTCCACGTCCATGTCTACGTCCACGTCCACGTCCATGTCCACGTCCACGTCCATGTCCACGTCCATGTCCACGTCCACGTCGATGTCCGCATCCATGTCCACGTCCACGTCCACATCCATGTCCACGTCCACGTCCACGTCCACGTCAACGTCCATGTCCACGTCCATGTCCTCCACGTCCACGTCCACGTCCATGTCCACGTCCACGTCCACGTCCACGTCAACGTCCATGTCCACGTCCACGTCCACGTCCACGTCCATGTCCACGTCCACGTCCACGTCCACGTCAACGTCCATGTCCACGTCCACGTCCACGTCCATGTCCACGTCCACGTCCACGTCCATGTCAACGTCCATGTCCTCCACGTCCACGTCCACGTCCATGTCCACGTCCACGTCCACGTCCACGTCCACGTCCATGTCCACGTCCACGTCCACGTCCACGTCCAGGTCCACGTCCACGTCCACGTCCATGTCTACGTCCACGTCCACGTCCATGTCCACGTCCACGTCCATGTCCACGTCCATGTCCACGTCCACGTCGATGTCCGCGTCCATGTCCACGTCCACGTCCACATCCATGTCCACGTCCACGTCCACGTCCACGTCCATGTCCACGTCCATGTCCTCCACGTCCACGTCCACGTCCATGTCCAGGTCCACGTCCACGTCCACGTCCATGTCCAGGTCCATGTCCACGTCCACGTCCGTGTCCATGTCCACGTCCACGTCCACGTCCACGTCCATGTCCACGTCCACGTCCACGTCCATGTCCATGTCCATGTCCACGTCAATGTCCACGTCCATGTCCACGTCCATGTCCTCCACGTCCACGTCCACGTCCATGTCCACGTCCACGTCCACGTCCATGTCCACGTCCACGTCCACGTCCATGTCCATGTCCACGTCCATGTCCACGTCCACGTCCATGTCCACGTCCAGGTCCACGTCCATGTCCACATCCACGTCCACGTCCACGTCCATGTCCACGTCCACGTCCACGTCCACGTCCACGTCGACGTCCATGTCCACATCCAAGTCCTCCACGTCCACGTCCACGTCCATGTCCACGTCCACGTCCACGTCCATGTCCACGTCCACGTCCATGTCCACGTCCATGTCTACGTCCACGTCGATGTCCGCGTCCATGTCCACGTCCACGTCCACGTTCACATCCATGTCCACGTCCACGTCCACGTCCATGTCCACGTCCATGTCCTCCACGTCCACGTCCACGTCCATGTCCACGTCCACGTCTACGTCCATGTCCACGTCCATGTCCACGTCCACGTCCACGTCCTTGTCCACGTCCACGTCCAGGTCCATGTCCACGTCCACGTCCATGTCCACGTCCATGTTCACGTCCACGTCCACGTCAACGTCCACGTCCACGTCCACGTCCATGTCCACGTCCACGTCCACGTCGACGTCCACGTCCATGTCTACGTCCACGTCCATGTCCACGTCCATGTCCACGTCCACGTCCATGTCCACGTCCATGTCCACGTCCACGTCGATATCCGCGTCCATGTCCACGTCCACGTCCACATCCATGTCCACGTCCACGTCCACGTCCACGTCCCCGTCCACGTCCATGTCCACGTCCATGTCCTCCACGTCCACGTCCACGTCCATGTCCACGTCCACGTCCACGTCCACGTCCGTGTCCACGTCCACGTGCACGTCCACGTCCATGTCCACGTCCACGTCCACGTCCACGTCTACGTCCACGTCCACGTCCACGTCCACGTCCACATCCACGTCCACGTTCAGGTCCACGTCCACATCCACGTCCAGGTCCACGTCCACGTCCACGTCCAGGTCCATGTCCACGTCCATGTCCACGTCCACGTCCACGTCCATGTCCACGTCCAAGTCCTCCACGTCCACGTCCACGTCCATGTCCATTCCACGTCCACGTCCACGTCCACGTCCACGTCCACGTGCACGTCCACGTCCACGTGCACGTCCACGTCCATGTCCACGTCCACGTCCACGTCCATGTCCACATCCACATCCACGTCCACGTGCACGTCCATGTCCACGTCCACGTCCACATCCACGTCCACGTCCAAGTCCACGTCCACGTCCACGTCCAAGTCCACGTCCATGTCCACGTCAACGTCCACGTCCACGTCCACGTCCACGTCCATGTCCACGTCCACGTCCATGTCCATGTCCACGTCCATGTCCACGTCCACGTCCATGTCCACGTCCAAGTCCTCCACGTCCATGTCCATGTCCACGTCCACGTCCACGTCCACGTCCACGTCTCTGTCCAAGTCCTCCACGTCCACGTCCATGTCCACGTCCAAGTCCTCCACGTCCATGTCCACGTCGACGTCCACGTCCATGTCCACGACCACGACGTCCACGTCCACGTCCACGTCCAGGTCCACGTCCAGGTCCACGTCCACGTCCACGTCCACGTCAACGTCCACGTCCACGTCCACGTCCACGTCCACGTCCAATACCATGTCCACGTCCACGTCCACATCCACGTCTACGTCTACGTCCACGTCCACGTCCACGTCCACATCCACGTCCACGTCCACGTCCACGTCCACGTCCACGTCCATGTCCACGTCCACGTCCACGTCCACGTCCACGACCACGACCATGTTCACGTCCACGTCCACGTCCACGTTCACGTCCACGTGCATGTCCACGTCCACGTCCAGGTCCACGTCCACGTCCACGACCACGACCAGGTCCACGTCCACGTCAACGTCCACGTCCACGTCCACGTGCACGTCCACGTCCACGTCCACGTCCACGTCCACGTCGACGTCCACGTCCATGTCCACATCCATGTCCACGTCCATGTCCACGTCCAAATCCACGTCCACGTCCACGTCCATGTCCACGTCCACGACCATGTCCACGTCCATGTCCACGTCCACGTCCACGTCCACGTCCACGTCCATGTCCACGTCCACGTCCACGTCCACGTCCACGTCCACGACCACGTCCACGTCCATGTCCACGTCCACGTCCGCGTCCACGTCAACGTCCACGTCCACGACCCCGTCCACGTCCACGTCCACATCCTCCACGTCCATGTCCACGTCCACGTCCACGTCCATGTCCACGTCCGCGTCCATGTCCATGTCCACGTCCACGTCCACGTCCATGTCCACGTCCGTGTCCTCCACGTCCACGTCCACGTCCATGTCCACGTCCACGTCTACGTCCATGTCCACGTCCATGTCCACGTCCACGTCCACGTCCTTGTCCACGTCCACGTCCACGTCCATGTCCACGTCCACGTCCATGTCCACGTCCATGTTCACGTCCACGTCCACGTCAACGTCCACGTCCACGTCCACGTCCATGTCCACGTCCACGTCCACGTCGACGTCCACGTCCATGTCTACGTCCACGTCCACGTCCACGTCCATGTCCACGTCCACGTCCATGTCCACGTCCATGTCCACGTCCACGTCGATATCCGCGTCCATGTCCACGTCCACGTCCACATCCATGTCCACGTCCACGTCCACGTCCACGTCCCCGTCCACGTCCATGTCCACGTCCATGTCCTCCACGTCCACGTCCACGTCCATGTCCACGTCCACGTCCACGTCCACGTCCGTGTCCATGTCCACGTCCACGTCCGTGTCCATGTCCACGTCCACGTCCACGTCTACGTCCACGTCCACGTCCACGTCCACGTCCACATCCACGTCCACGTTCAGGTCCACGTCCACATCCACGTCCAGGTCCACGTCCACGTCCACGTCCAGGTCCATGTCCACGTCCATGTCCACGTCCACGTCCACGTCCATGTCCACGTCCAAGTCCTCCACGTCCACGTCCATGTCCATTCCACGTCCACGTCCACGTCCACGTCCACGTCCACGTGCACGTCCACGTCCACGTGCACGTCCACGTCCATGTCCACGTCCACGTCCACGTCCATGTCCACATCCACATCCACGTCCACGTCCACGTCCATGTCCACGTCCACGTCCACATCCACGTCCACGTCCAAGTCCACGTCCACGTCCACGTCCAAGTCCACGTCCATGTCCACGTCAACGTCCACGTCCACTTCCACGTCCACGTCCATGTCCACGTCCACGTCCATGTCCATGTCCACGTCCATGTCCACGTCCACGTCCATGTCCACGTCCAAGTCCTCCACGTCCACGTCCATGTCCACGTCCACGTCCACGTCCACGTCCACGTCCACGTCCACGTCTCTGTCCAAGTCCTCCACGTCCACGTCCATGTCCACGTCCAAGTCCTCCACGTCCATGTCCACGTCGAGGTCCACGTCCATGTCCACGACCACGACGTCCACGTCCACGTCCACGTCCAGGTCCACGTCCAGGTCCACGTCCACGTCCACGTCCACGTCAACGTCCACGTCCACGTCCACGTCCACGTCCACGTCCAATACCATGTCCACGTCCACGTCCACATCCACGTCTACGTCTACGTCCACGTCCACGTCCACGTCCACGTCCACGTCCACGTCCACGTCCACGTCCACGTCCACGTCCATGTCCTCCACGTCCACGTCCACGTCCACGTCCACGACCACGACCATGTTCACGTCCACGTCCACGTCCACGTCCACGTCCACGTCCATGTCCACGTCCACGTCCAGGTCCACGTCCACGTCCACGACCACGACCAGGTCCACGTCCACGTCAACGTCCACGTCCACGTCCACGTGCACGTCCACGTCCACGTCCACGTCCACGTCCACGTCCACGTCGACGTCCACGTCCATGTCCACGTCCATGTCCACGTCCATGTCCACGTCCAAATCCACGTCCACGTCCACGTCCATGTCCACGTCCACGACCATGTCCACGTCCATGTCCACGTCCACGTCCACGTCCACGTCCACGTCCATGTCCACGTCCACGTCCACGTCCACGTCCACGACCACGTCCACGTCCACGTCCATGTCCACGTCCACGTCCGCGTCCACGTCAACGTCCACGTCCACGACCACGTCCACGTCCACGTCCACATCCTCCACGTCCATGTCCACGTCCACGTCCACGACCACGTCCACGTCCAGGACCACGACCACGTCCATGTCCACGTCCACGTCCAAGACCACGTCCACGTCCAAGTCCACGTCGTGGACGACCACGTCCACGTCGTCGTCCACGTCCATGTCCGCGTCCATGTCCACGTCCACGTCCATGTCCACGTCCAAGTCCATGTACACGTCCATGTCCACGTCCACGTCCACGTCCATGTCCACGTCCACGTCCACGTCCACGTCCACGTCTACGTCCATGTCCACGTCTACGTCCACGTCTACGTCCACGTCCACGTCCACGTCCACGTCCACGTCCACGTCTACGTCCACGTCCACGTCCACGTCCACGTCCAAGTCCACGTCCACGTCCACGTCCAAGTCCACGTCCATGTCCACGTCAACGTCCACGTCCACGTCCACGTCCACGTCCATGTCCACGTCCACGTCCATGTCCATGTCCACGTCCATGTCCACGTCCACGTCCATGTCCACGTCCAAGTCCTCCACGTCCACGTCCATGTCCACGTCCACGTCCACGTCCACGTCCACGTCCACGTCCACGTCTCTGTCCAAGTCCTCCACGTCCACGTCCATGTCCACGTCCAAGTCCTCCACGTCCATGTCCACGTCGACGTCCACGTCCATGTCCACGACCACGACGTCCACGTCCACGTCCACGTCCAGGTCCACGTCCAGGTCCACGTCCACGTCCACGTCCACGTCAACGTCCACGTCCACGTCCACGTCCACGTCCAATACCATGTCCACGTCCACGTCCACATCCACGTCTACGTCTACGTCCACGTCCACGTCCACGTCCACATCCACGTCCACGTCCACGTCCACGTCCACGTCCACGTCCATGTCCACGTCCACGTCCACGTCCACGTCCACGACCACGACCATGTTCACGTCCACGTCCACGTCCACGTCCACGTCCACGTCCATGTCCACGTCCACGTCCAGGTCCACGTCCACGTCCACGACCACGACCAGGTCCACGTCCACGTCAACGTCCACGTACACGTCCACGTGCACGTCCACGTCCACGTCCACGTCCACGTCCACGTCGACGTCCACGTCCATGTCCACATCCATGTCCACGTCCATGTCCACGTCCAAATCCACGTTCCCGTCCACGTCCACGTCCATGTCCACGTCCACGTCCACGTCCACGTCCACGTCCACGTCCACGTCTACGTCCATGTCCACGTCTACGTCCACGTCCACGTCCACGTCCACGTCCACGTCCACGTCTACGTCCACGTCCACGTCCACGTCCACCTCCACGTCCACGTCCACCTCCATGTCCACCTCCACGTCCATGTCCACCTCCATGTCCACGTCCACGTCCATGTCCACCTCCATGTCCACGTCCACGTCCAGGTCCACGTCCACGTCCACGTCCACGTCCAGGTCCATGTCCACGTCCACGTCCACGTCCAGGTCCACGTCCACGTCCACGTCCACGTCCACGTCTACGTCCACGTCCACGTCTACGTCCACGTCCACGTCTACGTCTACGTCTACGTCCACGTCCACGTCTACGTCCATGTCCACGTCCATGTCCACGTCCATGTCCACGTCCATGTCCACATCCATGTCCACGTCCAGGTCCACGTCCACGTCCATGTCCACGTCCACGTCCACGTCCACGTCCATGTCCACGTCCACGTCCACGTCCACGTCCACGTCCACGTCAACGTCTATGTCCAAGTCCATGTCCCCGTCCACGTCCACGTCCACCTCCATGTCCACCTCCACGTCCATGCCCACGTCCATGTCCACGTCCACGTCCACGTCCACGTCCACGTCCACGTCCACGTCCACGTCCCGTCCACGTCCACGTCCACGTCCACGTCCAGGTCCACGTCCACGTCTACGTCCACGTCCACGTCCACGTCCACGTCCACGTCCACGTCCACGTCCACGTCCACGTCCACGTCCCGTCCACGTCCACGTCCACGTCCACGTCCACGTCCACGTCCACGTCCACGTCCACCTCCACGTCCACGTCCACCTCCATGTCCACCTCCACGTCTATGTCCACCTCCATGTCCACGTCCACGTCCACGTCCACGTCCACGTCCACGACCATGTCCACGTCCACGTCCACGTCCACGTCCACGTCCATGTCCACGTCCACGTCCACGTCCATGTCCACGTCCAGGTCCACGTCCACGTCCACGTCCACGTCCACGTCCACACGTCCACGTCCATGTCCACGTCCACGTCCACTTCCACGTCCATGTCCACGTCCACGTCCACGTCCATGTCCACGTCCACGTCCACGACCATGTCCACGTCCACGTCCACGTCCACGTCCACGACCATGTCCACGTCCACGTCCACGTCCACGTCCACGTCCACGTCCACGTCCACGTTCACGTCCACGTCCACGTCCACGTCCACGTCCACGTCCACGACCACGACCACGTCCACGTCCACGTCCACGTCCAGGACCACGTCCACGACCACGACCACGTCCACGTCCACATCCACGTCCACGTCCACGTCCACGTCCACGACCACGTCCACGTCCACGTCCACGTCCACGTCCACGTCCATGTCCACGTCCACGTCCACGTCCATGTCCACGTCTGTTGGTGCAACCCTATGGTTTGCACTCGGCTTGTTGTCCGTGTGCGTGCATGTGTGTGTGTGTGTATGGAATGGTATGAGGGCATGGGATAATATATATTTCATGCTTATAATTGTGTGTGAATGTTGAGTCATGATGTCGAGTGTATGTGTCGGGTCAATAGCGAGTTATCGCTAGACGCGTGTTACGCGGTCGTTTGTGTCTCGCGCGCGGTTTCTATTTTGTCGTGCGCGGTTTCTATTTTGTCCTGTGTCGAACGTTCGGTGTGTCGCAGGTGTGTGCAGCAGAACCATCAAGAACTCAAGGATGAGTTTGTGATGAAGAGCCCGAGCCTTGGTGTCAAGCCTCAAGTGATTTCAAAGCTCGCCAAAAGGGTACACCTCAAGATATTGAAGATAGTTACATTACTTTGTGTAGTGTAACATTTCACTTGGTGTAGGCCCTAGTGAAGGGTAGTTTCGAGACCCTTCGTGGTTGGGGACAGTGTGGCACTGTTCCACATCACTGTACCTCGGCTCTTGGGGTTTGTAGGAGCTGGGAGTCATTCCCAACTCGTAACTCTTCAGATCTCTTCCTATTTTGTGTTCTAAGACTATAGTGGCTGCCATAGTGCCGTTCGTTCAAACCGACATTGTGTCGTCAATACTTGGTCAAATCGTGCGATCTAAATTGCCTATTGTAGGCGACAATAAGACGCTCCAGATCCAAGTTGAATCAAGTAATTTGAAGCTGTCACCAGAACGCTATGAACGTTTGAAGCCGCTGTGCAGAAATCCGACTGTGCACTCTATCTTTCGTTTTAGGCACATTGGAGCCTACTGTGACTATAACAAGTGGTATCAGAGCCCCTTGGAGCAGTTTCGACAATGGCTGGACCTGAGGAAAGGGGTGGCAGAGGTGCTGGTGGCAGAGGAGAAGCCCAAGCTCAAGGCCAACCCCGTGACTCAGCCATGGCGCCCGTGCAACCAAGTGTTGGCCCATCTAGGGATGAGCCTAGAGTGTTTGGCCTTGACAAGTTCAATGGTGACAACTTTGCTGAGTGGTCCTTCAGAATGGAGAACATATTTGACCACTATGACCTGCTGGAGGTGATGGAAGGAACGGAGAAGCGTCCCGAGAACGACCCGGAGAAGAGCCCGTGGGTGCGGAAGAGCGCACAAGGCTACCTCCTACTTGGGCAAGCGTTGGGGAGCAGCCAAATCCGTCACATCAAGCCTTTCCAGCGTGAACCAGAGAAGGGACCAAAAGCATGGGCTGCTCTCAAGGGTGTACACGCTCCTGCAACAGCGGCGGTAGCTGTGGTGTTGGAACGGCAAATGGCGACGTTACGAATTGAAGAGGATGAAGCGGTTGAAGAAGGGGTGCAGAAATTCTTCGACTTGTTGACGCGGCTTGAGGGAGCTGATTTGAACTATAGTGAGCTCCAAAAGAAGACCAAGTTGCTGGCCCTACTCCCGGAGTCATGGTCCTCGCTCATCATCAACCTTAATCGCGACTTGCCCCGCCTCTCGCTTGAAGACGTGAAGCGAGCTATCCTTCAAGAGGATTTCCGCCGCCGTGAGTTGGCGAGTGCGGATGGTGCTGGGGCAGCGAGCATCGGCCGTGGATATGGTCGAGGAAGAGGCAGAGGACGAGGGGGAGGAAGGTTTGGTGGCAGCAACTTCAGCGGAGGCCGCGGGAGTGGCGGTTACGGCAGCGACGAGAAGAACTACGGACGTGGTCGCGGCCGATTCGACGGCGAGTGTCACTATTGCCACAAGAGCGGACACATGTGGCGCGACTGCTACAAACTCCCTGATGGTTGGACCCCTGCTCAAGGCCAAGAGGGTAGAGGAGCAGGAGGAGGGAGAGGAAGAGGCCGTGGAGGCCGTGGCGGTCGCGGTGGCGGAGCTGCAAACATGAAGAGCGGAGACAACGACAAGGACCCGAGCGACGATCGATACCCGGGTCTATTCTACTTCGTGTCGACGCAAGTACCGGCTGGTCCAGAGAAGGATGAAGGCTTTGAGGAGCCAGCAGCTGTGGGGAAGGTGACCCTACACCCCCTGGACTATTGGGTGATTGATAGTGGCGCTACCTATAGCATGACACCTCGCCCGGACTTGCTCACCGAACTCGAGCCGTCACCGGTGAAGCATGTCACATCGGCTTTGGGGCAGCGAGCAGAGGTGAAAGGCATGGGGAAGGCCATGTTCAAGGGTGCTGATGGGAAGATGGTGGGCCTCAAGAACGTGCTTTGGGTGCCCAGCCTTGCTGCGAACCTGATTTCCGTGCGGCGGTTGGCAAAGGCCGGCATGGACACTAACTCGAAGGGAGCCAAGACCTACACCGCAAGGCTTGGCGATCGGATTCTTTGGGACCTTCATGAGGACAGAGATGTCTACAACGAGATGTGGCAGATCCCTGTGGTCCCAATGCCTAAGGAGAGGCAAGTGGCAGCAAGCATCAGCACCAAGGATGGAGTGGTCGGTAGCGACGATGGCGCGAACGGTCGCGCTAAGGAGAATGAGCTCAAGAAGAGCAAACCTGGAGGGACCAGCAAGTTCAGTGAACCTAAGGAGAGTGGTGCAGCAGCCAAGGAGCAGCAAAAGGGTGAGGAGATCCCCGGGGCAGCAGCGGAGGAGGACTACGGAGAGAGTATGTGGGGCGATATTGCGAGCGCGGCATTCTCCAATCCAACTTCGGCTACGGGGGAGTGTGATTGGCTCACCTTGCATCGGCGCATGGGGCATGTGGCCCTGCCTATCTTGCAGCAGCTAGTGAAGAATGAGATGGTTGCTGGCATACGTGTGAAGGGGGAGCCCGATGAGGTGCTTGGCTGCCCGACGTGCATTCAAGCCAAGTTCACCCGGTTTCCGTTCTCTAGTTCGGAGGCAACGGCAAAGGCACCACTTGATGAGGTGGTGATGGACGTGGTGGGCCCCCTGAAGCTTGGAGCTGCTGGAGCTGAGTATTTTCTCACCATTGTTGACGTCTACACCCGCATGACTTGGGTGTACGTGCTGGCCAAGAAGAGTGACGTGGCTGAAACGTTGAAGGCGGATTGGTTCCCGATGGTGGAGCGGCAACAAGACCGTCTAGTCAAGTCAATCCGCACCGATCGAGGGGGAGAGTTCCTGAGCAAGGAGTTTGGGTTGTGGCTGAAGAAGAATGGTATTCGGCACTCCCTCACCATGCCATACTCCCCTGCAATGAATGGCATCGCCGAGCGAGCGAACCGCACAATCACGGAGGCGGCACGCGGGTTGCTCATTGAAGCCGGGCTACCCGACTATTTCTGGCCTGATGCGGTGCGGAGCGCATGTGTGGCCAAGAACAGAGCCTTGACTCATGTGGGAGCAGACAAATGGGTGCCCTATGTGGAGTGGCTAGGAAGGAAGCCAAAGGTGGATATGCTTCGGGTGTTCGGGTGCATGTGCATGGCGCTTGTGCCTAAGCATCTTCGGCACAACAAGCTTGGTGCCAAGGCGGTGTGGGCCGTGCACTTGGGCATGGCTCAAAACAGCAAGGGATGGCTTCTTTGGGACCCATTCACCAAGAAGTTCTTGGTGAGCAGGGACTGCAAGTTCATGGAGAACTTCATGTACAAGGATTGGAAGGCGGAGAATGAGGCGAAGATAGGCGTGCGGTTTGGGGAGGTGAAGAGTTCCGGTTTGGAGCATGTGGAGCTGCCTTTGGAGCTGAACAGCGGCAGCACAACCACGAGGCAATCCTCCCTTGTGAATGGGGGAGAGGAGGCCACTGATGCAGAGGAAGAAGAGGAGGAGGTGCAGCAAGTGAGCGAGCGTGCACCGTCACTCCCTTCCCGTACCACGAGTGCTCCACGGAATCGAGCCACACCGCAGCAACGCCAAGGCCTTCAAGTCCCTGCAGCTGAGGAGGAAGGAAGGGGGAAGAGGAGAGTTCAACCCCCTAATAGGCTGACCTATGATGCACTTGGAAAGCAAGGCAAGACAGCCCTGGCCGGAGCGGCAATGATGGTCGGAGACGACGAGGAGAGTGACTACGAGGAGTGTGCCTTCGCGTTCTTCTCTCCGGTGGAGATGCCAGGAGAACCAGCAACTCTCAAGGAGGCTTTGGAGAGTAGTGATGCTGAGGAGTGGAAGAAGGCCATGGAGAGTGAGCTGAAGAGCATCGAGGAGAATGACACGTTTGAATTGGTGGAGCTACCGGAGGGGCGTACGGCGATAACGTCCAAGTGGCTCTTCAAAATCAAGTCGGATGCCGACGGCAAGATCGAGCGTTACAAGTCTAGGCTTGTAGCCAAGGGGTACCAGCAGAAGGAGAAGGTGGACTTCAAGGAGCTGTTTGCCCCTGTGGTGAAGCCGACGACGCTGCGAACCCTATTCGCGGGAGCCGCCATCAAAGGATGGGTGGTGAAGCAAATGGACATTGTGACGGCATTCCTCAACGGCATCCTTGAGGAGGAGATTTTTATGGCGCAGCCAGAGGGGTTTGATGATGGTAGTGGCAGAGTGTGGAAGCTGAAGAAGGCCCTCTATGGGCTGAAGCAGGCCCCTAGGCAATGGTACATGAAGCTGCGCGAAGTGTTGGAGGAGATCGGCTTCACTCCCTCAACGGCCGATCACTCCTTGTTCATGCTTGGCGAGGGGGAACAGAGGAGCTTCATGGTGGTTTATGTGGATGACATTCTCATATTCTCACCCTCCTCTGACCTTGTGAAGGAGGTGATGCTGAAGCTGCATGACAAGTTTAAGTGCAAGTCCCTTGGTGACGTGAACTTCTACCTTGGGCTCCACATCGAACGAGACGTGGAGAAGCGGAGCATGCGAGTGCACCAACGGAAGTACCTGGAGGCGTTGGCTGCCAACTTTGGCCAGAGTGAAGGTCATGTGGCTACTCCCTTTCCCTCTGGGTTCAAGTGTGTGAAGGGGCCAGAGGAGGAGAGCGTTGGAGAAGAGGAGAGGCGCCGATTTCACTCGTTGGTGGGCAGCCTCATGTATGCGGCGGTAAACACCCGACCGGACGTCGCGTTTGCTACCGGGCAGCTGGCTAGGGTTGTGCAATGCCCTAATGAGGAGCAGGTAGCAGCTGGAATGAGGGTGGCCAAGTACCTTGGCCAAACACCGACCGTTGGGCTGCAATACTCGGCGGCGGCACAAAGGCGCCAAAAGGGCGCGGATGGTGTTGAACCCGGGCGTTTGTTCCTCACCGCCTACTCGGATGCTTCATATGCATCAGAACCAGAGGACATGACAAGTGTGGGAGGCTTCATATGCTGTGTTGGTGGAGGCCCAACTGCTTGGGAGAGCAAGAAGCAGGTTGACCAAGCTTTGAGCTCGGTGGAGTCCGAGTACATGGCACTCTTCCGTGCCGTACGGGAGATTGTGTGGCAGCGGCGTTTGTTGGCTGAATTGGGGGAGGAGCAGCAAGGACCTACCCCACTATATTGTGACAGCCAGGGTGCCATTGCTCTTGCTAAGAACCCTGTGTTGCATGGACTCACGAAGCACATGAGGGTGAAGTGGCATTGGACGAGGAGCATGGTAACCGCGGGTGAAGTTGAGTTGCGCTACGTGAAAACCACGGGGCAGCCGGCTGACATGATGACCAAGAGGCTGGTGGAGCAGCAGCATTGGAAGTGTTGCAAGCTGGCTGGGATGGCTCTGAACTGAGAGAGCAACATATCCGAAGGCCAACAATCCGAGGGGGAGTTTGTTGGTGCAACCCTATGGTTTGCACTCGGCTTGTTGTCCGTGTGCGTGCATGTGTGTGTGTGTGTATGGAATGGTATGAGGGCATGGGATAATATATATTTCATGCTTATAATTGTGTGTGAATGTTGAGTCATGATGTCGAGTGTATGTGTCGGGTCAATAGCGAGTTATCGCTAGACGCGTGTTACGCGGTCGTTTGTGTCTCGCGCGCGGTTTCTATTTTGTCGTGCGCGGTTTCTATTTTGTCCTGTGTCGAACGTTCGGTGTGTCGCAGGTGTGTGCAGCAGAACCATCAAGAACTCAAGGATGAGTTTGTGATGAAGAGCCCGAGCCTTGGTGTCAAGCCTCAAGTGATTTCAAAGCTCGCCAAAAGGGTACACCTCAAGATATTGAAGATAGTTACATTACTTTGTGTAGTGTAACATTTCACTTGGTGTAGGCCCTAGTGAAGGGTAGTTTCGAGACCCTTCGTGGTTGGGGACAGTGTGGCACTGTTCCACATCACTGTACCTCGGCTCTTGGGGTTTGTAGGAGCTGGGAGTCATTCCCAACTCGTAACTCTTCAGATCTCTTCCTATTTTGTGTTCTAAGACTATAGTGGCTGCCATAGTGCCGTTCGTTCAAACCGACACTGTGTCGTCAATACTTGGTCAAATCGTGCGATCTAAATTGCCTATTGTAGGCGACAATAAGACGCTCCAGATCCAAGTTGAATCAAGTAATTTGAAGCTGTCACCAGAACGCTATGAACGTTTGAAGCCGCTGTGCAGAAATCCGACTGTGCACTCTATCTTTCGTTTTAGGCACATTGGAGCTACTGTGACTATAACAACGTCCACGTCCACGACCATGTCCACGTCCACGTCCACGTCCACGTCCACGTCCATGTCCACGTCCACGTCCACGTCCACGACCATGTCCACGTCCACGTCCACGTCCACGTCCACGACCATGTCCACGTCCACGTCCACGTCCACGTCCACGTCCATGTCCACGTCCACGTCCACGTCCACGTCCATGTCCACGTCCACGTCCACGTCCACGTCCACGTCCACGTCCACGTCCACGTCCACACGTCCACGTCCATGTCCACGTCCACATCTACGTCCATGTCCACGTCCACGTCCACGTCCACGTCCATGTCCACGTCCACGTCCACGACCATGTCCACGTCCACGTCCACGTCCACGTCCACGTCCACGTCCACGTCCACGACCATGTCCACGTCCACGTCCACGTCCACGTCCAGGTCCAGGTCACGTCCACGTCCACGTCCACGTCCACGTCCACGTCCACGACCATGTCCACGTCCACGTCCACGTCCACGTCCACGGTCCACGTCCACGTCCAGGTCCACGTCCACGTCCACGTCCACGTCCACGTCCACGTCCACGTCCACGTCCACGTCCACGTCCACGTCCACGTCCACGTCCACGTCCACGTCAACGTCCACGTCCACGACCACGTCCCACGTCCACGTCCACGGTCCACGTCCACGTCCACGTCCACGTCCACGACCACGTCCACGTCCACGTCCACGTCCACGTCCACGTCCACGTCCACGACCACGTCCACGTCATGTCCACGTCCACGTCCACGTCCACGTCCACGTCCACGTCCACGTCCACGTCCACGTCCACGTCCACGTCCACGACCACGTCAACGTCCACGACCACGTCCACGTCACGTCCACGTCCACGTCAACGTCCACGACCACGTCCACGTCCACGTCCACGTCCACGACCACGTCCACGTCCACGTCCACGTCCACGTCCACACGTCCACGTCCATGTCCACGTCCACGTCCACGTCCACGTCCATGTCCACGTCCACGTCCACGTCCACGACCATGTCCCACGTCCACGTCCACGTCCACGTCCACGTCCACGACCATGTCCACGTCACGCGTCCATGTCCACATCCGCGTCCACGTCCACGTCCCCGTCCACGTCCACGTCCACGTCCACGTCCACGTCCACACGTCCCCGTCCACGTCCACGTCCACGTCCAGTCCACGTCCACACGTCCACGTCCACGTCCACGTCCACGTCCACGTCCACGTCCACGCGTCCACGACCCTGGTCCACGTCCACGTCCACGTCCACGTCCACGTCCGCGACCATGTCCACGTCCACGTCCACGTCCACGTCCACGTCCACGACCAGGTCCGCGTCCACGTCCAGGTCCACGTCCAGGTCCACGTCCACGTCCACGTCCACGTCCAGGTCCACGTCCACGTCCACGTCCACGTCCACGTCCACGTCCACGTCCACGTCCACGTCAACGTTCCACGTCCACGTCCACGTCCAAGTCCACGTCCACGTCCACGTCCACGTCCACGTCCAACGTCCAGACCACGTCCACGTCCACGTCCACGTCCACAGTCCACGTCCACGTCCACGACCACGTCCACGTCCATGTCCACGTCACGTCCACGTCCACGTCCACGTCCACGTCCACGTCCACGTCCACGTCCACGTCCACGTCCACGACCACGTCAACGTCCACGACCACGTCCACGTCCACGTCCACGTCCACGTCAACGTCCACGACCACGTCCACGTCCACGTCCACGTCCACGTCCACCGACCACGTCCACGTCCACGTCCACGTCCACGTCCACGAGCACGTCCACGTCCATGTCCACGTCCACGTCCACGTCCACGTCCATGTCCACGTCCACGTCCACGTCCACGACCATGTCCACGTCCACGTCCACGTTCACGTCCACGTCCTACGACCATGTCCACGTCCGCGTCCATGTCCACGTCCGCGTCCACGTCCACGTCCACGTCCACGTCCACGTCCACGTCCACGTCCACGTCCACGTCCACACGTCCACGTCCACGTCCACGTCCACGTCCACGTCCACGTCCACACGTCCACGTCCAGGTCCACGTCCACGTCCACGTCCACGTCCACGTCCGCGACCATGTCCACGTCCACGTCCACGTCCACGTCCACGTCCACGTCCACGACCATGTCCACGTCCACGTCCACGTCCACGTCCATGTCCACGTCCAGGTCCACGTCCACGTCCAGGTCCACGTCCAGGTCCACGTCCACGTCCACGTCCACGTCCACGTCCACGTCCACACGTCCACGTCCATGTCCAAGTCCACGTCCACGTCCACGTCCATGTCCACGTCCACGTCCATGTCCACGTCCACGTCCACGACCATGTCCACGTCCACGTCCACGTCCACGTCCACGACCATGTCCACGTCCACGTCCACGTCCACAGTCCACGTCCAGGTCCACGTCCACGTCCACGTCCACGTCACGTCCACGACCACGACCACGACCACGTCCACGTCAACGTCCACGTCCACGTCCACGTCCATGTCCACGTCCACGTCCAGGTCCACGTCCACGTCCACGTCCACGTCCACTGTCCACGTCCCACGTCCACGTCCACACGTCCACGTCCATGTCCACGTCCACGTCCACGTCCACGTCCATGTCCACGTCCACGTCCACGTCCACGTCCATGTCCACGGTCCACGTCCACGTCCATGGACCATGTCCACGTCCACGTCCACGTCCACGTCCACGTCCACGTCCACGTCCACGACCATGTCCACGTCCACGTCCACGTCCACGTCCACGTCCACGTCCACGTCCACGTCCAGGTCCACGTCCAGGTCCACGTCCACCGTCCACGTCCACGTCCACGACCACGTCCACGTCCACGTCCACGTCCACGTCCACGACCACGTCCACAACCACGTCCACGACCACGTCCACGTCCCACGTCCACGTCCACGTCCATGTCCACGTCCACGTCCACGTCCATGTCCACGTCCACGTCCACATCCATGTCCACGTCCACGTCCACGTCCACGACCATGTCCACGTCCAAGTCCACGTCCACGTCCACGTCCATGTCCACGTCCACGTCCAAGTTTACGTCCACGTCCACGTCCACGTCCATACTCCACGTCCACGTCCACGTCAACGTCCACGTCCATGTCCACGTCCTACACGTCCATGTCCACGTCCATGTCCACGTCCACGTCCACGTCCACGTCCACGACCAGGTCCACGTCCACGTCCACGACCATGTCCACGTCCACGTCCACGTCCACGTCCACGTCCATGTCCACTTCCACGTCCACGTCCACGTTCACGTCCACGTCCAAGTTACGTCTACGTCCACGTCCACGTCCACGTCCATCTCCCACGTCCACGTCCACGTCAACGTCCACGTCCATGTCCACGTCCTCCACGTCCATGTCCACGTCCACGTCCACGTCCACGTCCACGACCAGGTCCACGTCCACGTCCACGTCCAGGTCCACGTCCACGTCTACGTCCACGTTCCAGGTCCACGTCCACGTCCACGTCCACGTCCACACGTCCACGTCCATGTCCACGTCACGTCCACGTCCACGTCCATGTCCACGTCCATGTCCACGTCCACGTCCACGTCCACGACCATGTCCAAGTCCACGTCCACGTCCACGTCCACGTCCACGTCCACGATCATGTCCACGTCCACGTCCACGTCCACGTCCACGTCCACGTCCCCGTCCATCTCCAGGTCCACGTCCACGTCCACGTCCACGCCCACGTCCACGTCCACGTCCACGACCACGTCCACGACCACGTCCACGTCCACGTCCACGTCCACGTCCACGTACACGTCCACGTCCACAACCACGTCCACGACCACGTCCACGACCACGTCCACGTCCACGTCCACGTCCACACGTCCACGTCCACATCCACGTCCACGTCCACGTCCACGTCGACGACCACGTCCATGACCACGTCCACGTCCACGTCCAGGTCCACGTCCACGTCCAGGTCCACGTTCCACGTCCACGTCCACGTCCACGTCCACGTCCACGTCCAGGTCCACGTCCACGTCCACGTCCACGTCCATCTCCACGTCCACGTCCACGTCCATGTCCACGTCCATTCCACGTCCATGTCCACGTCCCACGTCAAGTCCACGACCATGTCCAAGTCCACGTCCACGTCCACGTCCACGTCCAGTCCAAGTTTACGTCCACGTCCATGTCTACGTCCACGTCCGTCTCCACGTCCACGTCCACGACCAGGTCCACGTCCACGTCCACGTCCAGGTCCACGTCCACGTCCACGTCCACGTCCACGTCCACACGTCCACGTCCATGTCCACGTCCACGTCCACGTCCACGTCCATGTCCAGGTCCACGTCCACGTCCACGTCCATGTCCACGTCCACGTCCACGTCCCGACCATGTCCACGTCCACGTCCATGTCCACGTCCACGTCCACGTCCACGTCCACGTCCACGTCCACGTCCACGACGATGTCCACGTCCACGTCCACGTCCACGTCCACGTCCACGTCCATGTCCACGTCCACGTCCACGTCCACGTCCACGTCCACGTCCACGTCCACGACCACGTCCACGACCACGTCCACGTCCACGTCCACGTCCACGTCCACGTCCACGTCCACGACCACGTCCACGACCACGTCCATGTCCACGTCCACGTCCCCGTCCACGTCCACGACCATGTCCACGTCCACGTCCACGTCCACGTCCACGTCCACGCCACGACCACGTCCACGACCACGTCCACGTCCACGTCCACGTCCACATCCACGTCCACACGTCCACGTCCATGTCCAGTCCACGTCCATGTCCATGTCCACGTCCACGTCCACGTCCACGTCCATGTCCACGTCCACGTCCACGTCCACGTCCACGTCCACCTCCACGTCCACGTCCACGTCCACGTCCACACGTCCACGTCCACGTCCACGTCCACGTCCATCACGAGCATGTCCACGTCCACGTCCACGTCCACGTCCACGTCCACGTCCATGTCCACGTCCACGTCCAGGTCCACGTCCACGTCCACGTCCACGTCCACGACCACGTCCACGACCACGACCACGTCCAAGTCCACGTCCCACGTCCACGTCCACGGACCACGTCCACGACAACGTCCACGTCCACGTTCCACGTCCACGTCCACACGTCCACGTCCATGTCACGTCCACGTCCACGTCCATGTCCACGCCCACGTCCACGTCCACGTCCATGTCCACGTCCACGTCCACGTCCACGTCCATGTCCACGTCCACGTCCACGTCCACGACCATGTCCACGTCCACGTCCACGTCCACGTCCACGTCCACGTCCACGACCATGTCCACGTCCACGTCCACGTCCACGACCACGTCCACGTCCACGTCCACGTCCACGTCCACGACCACGTCCACGACCACGTCCACGTCCACGTCCACGTCCACGTCCATGTCCACGTCCACACGTCCAGTCCATGTCCACGTCCACGTCCACGTCCACGTCCACGTCCACGTCCACCGTCCACGACCACGTCCACGACCACGTCCACGTCCACGTCCACCTCCACGTCCACGTCCACGTCCACGACCACGTCCACGGTCCACGTCCACGTCCACGTCCATGTCCACGTCCAGGTCCACGTCCACGTCCACGTCCACGTCCAGGTCCACGTCCACGTCCACGTCCACGTCCACGTCCACATGTCCACGTCCATGTCCACGTCACGTACACGTCCACGTCCATTGTCCACGTCCACGTCCACGTCCACGTCCATGTCCACGTCCACGTCCACGTCCACGACATGTCCACGTCCAGTTCCACGTCCACTTCCACGTCCACGTCCACGACCATGTCCACGTCCACGTCCACGTCCACGTCCACGTCCATGTCCACGTCCACGTCCACGGTCCACGTCCACGTCCACGACCACGTCCACGACCACGTCCACGTCCACGGTCCACGACCACGTCACGACCACGTCCACGTCCACGTCCACGTCCACGACCACGTCCACGACCACGTCCCACGTCCACGTCCACGTCCACGCTCCACGTCCACTGACCACGTCCACGTCCACGTCCCACGTCCACGACCACGTCCACGTCCACGTTTACGTCAACGTCCACGTCCATGTCCACGTCCACGTCCACGTCCACGTCCATATCCACGTCCACGTCCACGTCCACGACCACCTCCACGTCCCACGTCCACGTCCACGTCCACGTCCATGTCAACGTCAACGTCCACGTCCATGTCCACGTCCACGTCCAGTCCTCGTCCACGTCCACGTCCACGTCCACGTCCAGGTCCACGTCCACGTCCACTTCCACGACCACCGTCCACGTCCACGTCCCACGACCACGTCCACGACCACGTCCACGACCACGTCCACGTCCACGTCCACGTCCACGGTCTACGTCCACGTCCACGTCCCACGTCCAGGTCCACGTCCACGTCCAGGTCCACGTCCACGTCCACGTCCACGTCCACGACACCTCCGTGTCCACCTCCATGTCCACCTCCACGTCCACGTCCACATCCACGTCCACGTCCAGGTCCACCGTCCTCCACGGTCCAAGTCCACGTCCACGTCCACGTCAACGTTCCATGCCACGTCCATGTCCACGTCCACGTCCACGTCCACGTCCACGTCCACGTCCACGTCCACGTCCACGTCCATGTCTACGTCCACGTCCACGTCCACGTCCACGTCCACGTCCACTTCCACGTCCACGTCCACGTCCACGTCCACGTCCACGTCCACGTCCACCTCCACGTCCACCTCCACGTCCATGTTCACGTCCACGTCCACGTCCACGTCCATGTCCACGTCCACGTCCACGTCCACGTCCATGTCCACGTCCACGTCCACGTCCACGACCATGTCCACGTCCACGTCCACGACCACGTCCACGCCCACGTCCACGTCCACGTCCACGTCCATGTCTACGTCCACGTCCACGTCCACGTCCACGTCCACGTCCACGTCCACGTCCACGTCCACTTCCACGTCCACGTCCACGTCCATGGTTCACGTCCACCTCCCGTCCATGTTCACGTCCAAGTCCACGTCTCCACGTCCAAGTCCACGTCCACGTCCACGTCCACGTCCACGTCCACGTCCACGTGTCCACGTCTCCACGGGTCACACGTCCACGACCAGGTCCACGTCCACGTCCACATCCACGTCCACGCCCACGTCCACGTCCACGTCCCACGTCCACGTCCACGTCCCCGACCACGACCACGTCCACATCCACGTCCAACGTCCACGTCCACGCCACGTCCACGTCCCACGACCACGTCCAGGTCCACGGTCCACGTCCACGTCCATGTCCACGACCATGTCAACGTCCAGGTCCAGGTCCAGGTCAACGTCCAGGTCCAGGTCCACGTCCACGACCACGTCCACGTCCACGACCACGTCCACGACCACGTCCCGTCCACGTCCACGTCCACGTCCACGTCACCTCCACGTCCACGACCACGTCCACGTCCACGTCCACGTCCACGTCCAGGTCCACTGCCACGTCACGTCCACGTTCACGTCCACGTCCACGTCCACGTCCACGTCCACGTCACGTCCACGTCCTCCACGTCCAAGTCCATGTCCACGTCCACGTCCACGTCTACGTCCACGTCCATGTCCACGTCCACGTCCACGTCCAGGTCCACGTCACGACCACGTCCACGTCCACGTCCACGTCCACAGGTCCACGACAACAACGTCCACGTCACGTCCACCTCCACGTCCACGACCACGTCCACGTCCACGTCCACGTCCAGGTCCACGTCCACGTCCACGCCACGTTCACGTCACGTCCACGTCCACGTCCACGTCCACGTCCACGTCCTCCACGTCCACGTCCATGTCCACGTCCACGTCCACGTCTACGTCCACGTCCATGTCCACGTCCACGTCCACGTCCAGGTCCAGGTCCACGACCACGACCACGTCCCACGTCCACGTCCACGTCCACGTCCACGTCAACGTCCACGTCCACGTCCACGTCCACGTCCACACCCCAGTCCACGTCCACGTCCACGTCCACGTTCCACGTCCACACGTCCACGTCCATGTCCACGTCCACGTCAACGTCCACGTCCATGTCCACGTCCACGTCCACGTCCACGTCCACGTCCACGTCCATCTCCTCCTCGACGACCACGTCCACGTCCACGTCCACGTCCACGTCCACGTCCATGTCCACGTCCACGTCCACGTCCACGACCATGTCCACGTCCACGTCACGTCCAACGTCCACGGACCACGTCCACGACCACGTCCACGACCACGTCCACTTCCACGTCCACGTCAACGTCCACGTCCATGTCCACGTCAGGTCCACGTCCACGTCCACGTCCACGTCCACGACCACGTCCACGACCACGTCCACGTCCACGTCCACGTCCACGTCCACGACCACGTCCAGGTCAACGTCCACGTCCACACGTCCACGTCCACGTCCACGTCCACGTCCACGTCCACGTCCACGTCCACGTCAACGTCCACGTCCACGACCACGTCCACGTCCACGTCCACGTCCACGTCCACGTCCACGTCCACGTCCACGACCACGTCCACGTCCACGTCCACGTCCACGTCCACGTCCACGTCCACGACCACGTCCACGTCCACGTCCACGTCCACGTCCACGTCCACGTCCACGTCCACGTCCACGTCCACGTCCACGTCCACGTCCACGTCCACGTCCACGTCACGTCCACGTCCACGACCACGTCCACGTCCACGTCCACGTCAACGTCCACGTCCACGACCACGTCCACGTCCACGTCCACGTCCACGTCAACGTCCACGTCCACGACCACGTCCATGTCCAGTCCACGTCCACGTCCACGACCAGGTCCACGTCCACGTCCAGGTCCACGTCCACGTCCACGTCCAGGTCCACGTCCGCGTCCACGTCCACGACCACGTCCGCGTCCACGTCCGTCCACGTCCGCCGTCCGCGTTCCACACGTCCACGTCCACGTCCACGTCCACGTCCACGTCCACGTCCACCGGTCCACGTCCACGTCCACGTCCACGTCCACACGTCCACGTCCATGTCCAAGTCCACGTCCACGTCCACGTCCATGTCCACGTCCACGTCCACGTCCATGTCCACGTCCACGACCATGTCCACGTCCAGTCCACGTCCACGTCCACGTCCACGTCCACGTCCACGTCCACGTCCACGTCCACGTCCACGTCCAGGTCCACGTCCACGTCCAGGTCCACGTCCACGACCACGACCACGTCCACGTCCAGTCAACGTCCACGTCCACGTCAATGTCCACGTCCACGTCCACGTCCATGTCACGTCCACGTCCAGGTCCACGTCCACGTCCACGTCCACGTCCACGTCCACGTCCACGTCAACACGTCCACGTCCATGTCCACGTCCACGTCCACGTCCACGTCCATTCACGTCCACGTCCACGTCCACGTCCATGTCCACGTCCACGTCCACGTCCTGACCATGTCCACGTCCACGTCCCGTCCACGTCCACGTCCATGTCCACGTCCACGTCCACGTCCACGACCATGTCCACGTCCACGTCCACGTCCACGGTCCACGACCACGTCCACGACCACGTCCACGACCACGTCCACTTCCACGTCCACGTCCACGTCCACGTCCATGTCCACGTCCAGGTCACACGTCCACGTCCACGTCCACGTCCACGACCACGTCCACGACCACGTCCACGTCACGGTCCACGTCCACGTCCACGACCAACGTCCAGGTCCACGTCCACGTCAACACGTCCACGTGTCCACGTCCACGTCCACGTCCACGTCCACGTCCACGTCCACGTCAACGTCCACGTCCACGACCACGTCCACGTCCACGTCCACGTCCACGTCCACGTCCACGTCCACGTCCACGACCACGTCCACGTCCACGTCCACGTCCACGTCCACGTCCACGTCCACGACCACGTCCACGTCCACGTCCACGTCCACGTCCACGTCCACGTCCACGTCCACGTCAACGTCCACGTCCACGACCACGTTCCACGTCCACGTTCACGTCAACGTCCACGTCCACGACCACGTCCACGTCCACGTCCAACGTCAACGTCCACGTCCACGTCCACGTCCACGTCCACCGTCCACGGCACACGTCCAAGACCATGTCCAGTCCACGTCCACGTCCATGTCCACGTCCACGTCCACGTCCACGACCATGTCCACGGTCCACGTCCACGTCCACGTCACGTCCACGACCATGTCCAGGTCCACGTCCATGTCCACGTCCATGTCCACGTCCAGTCCACGTCCGCGACCAGGTCCACGTCCACGTCCAGGTCCACGTCCACGTCCACGTCCACGTCCACGTCCACGTCCGCGTCCACGTCCACGTCCGCGTCCACGTCCCCGTCCACGTCCACACGTCACGTCCACGTCCACGCCACGTCCACGTCCACGTCCACGTCCACGTCCACGTCCACGTCCACGTCCACCACGTCCACGTCCAGGTCCACGTCCACGTCCACGTCCACGTCCCACGTCCACGACCATGTCCACGTTCCACGTCCACGTCCACGTCCACGTCCACGACCAGGTCTACGTCCACGTCCACGTCCACGTCCACGTCCATGCCACGTCCAGGTCCACGTCCACGTCCAGGTCCACGTCCAGGTCCACGTCCACCCACGTCCACGTCCACGTCCACGTCCAGTCCAACACGTCCACGTCCATGTCCAAGTCCACGTCCACGTCCACGTCCATGTCCACGTCCACGTCCATGTCCACGTACCGTCCACGACCATGTCCACGGTCCACGTCCACGTCCACGTCCACGTCCACGACCATGTCCACGGTCCACGTCCACGTCCCACGTCCCACGTCCACGTCCAGGGTCCACGTCCACGTCCACGTCCACGTCCACGACCACGACCACGACCACGTCCACGGTCAAACGTCCAGTCCACGTCCACGTCCAGTCCACGTCCATGTCCACGTCCACGTCCACGTCCATGTCCACGTCCACGACCATGTCCACGGTCCACGTCCACGTCCACGTCCACGTCCAGTCCACGTCCCATGTCCTACGTCCACGTCCACGTCCACGTCCACGTCCACGTCCACGTCCACGTCCACGTCCACACGTCCACGTCCATGTCCACTTCCACGTCCACGTCCACGTCCATGTCCACGTCCACGTCCACGTCCATGTCCACGTCCACGTCCACGTCCATGACCATGTCCACTGCGTCCACGTCCACGTCCACGTCCACGTCCACGTCCACGTCCACGACCATGTCCACGTCCACGTCCACGTCCACGTCCACGTCCACGTCCACGTCCACGTCCAGGTCCACGTCCAGGTCCACGTCCCACGTCCACGTCCGTCCACGTCCACGACCACGTCCACGACCACGTCCACGTCCACGTCCACGTCCACGTCCCCGTCCCACGTCCACGTCCACGACCACGTACACGACCACGTCCACGTCCACGTCCAGGTCCAC